AAGTGTTGGGCTACCAATCTTGTACAGGAGTTCTGTCCCTTTTGTGGGATATTGCTACAGAGATCACAACCAGAATTTCTTCTCTTTGTACTGCCAATGTAATCTTCACCCCAGAATCCGGTATTTGCCTTTTGGACCTCGAGACCTGATCATTTTTCTCAAAAGTGAACCTTACTCCATTGTGGTGGTAAAGAAAGAAGATCTAGCATCTGGCTATTTGTTGCCCACCACTTTAAGTCGGCATCCTCATCCCTGTGTTCAATCAATTGCATGGTCTAATCTTGGAATAGCTCCTAACTCTGGAAGGATGCATAAAGCTTTATCGCTCTCTTTTTCTGTGCTAAGTGGATAGATATAAGCTTTTTGATTATCTTGTAAGTATCAGTTTTGAGGAACCAGACATTCCTCCCGGGAAATTTCTATTGAGCCACTGCGGGCCCATGGTTGTGTTGATGATCCACCAGACTTTGTTTCAGGTGTTTCAGGAAAGGAAGCTTTTGAAGGGGTCTTGGTATTTTTATTTATTTATTTATTTATTTATTTATTTATTTATTTATTATTATTATTATTATTATTATTATTATATCTAGAATTATTTAGTGCTCTTTTTATTTTATTCCATTTTTATCTTTATCTTTATTTTTATTTTTATTTTTATTTTATTTATTTATTTATTTTGTCTTTTTAAATAAATTTTCAAAAAAGGTTTTTTTGAGGAAAAGTTGAAAGTATCAATTTTCCTCGAAATTAAAAGTTTCCAAAAAATATTTTGAGAAAAAGTTGAAAATATCAATTTTTCTTAAAAATAAATTTTCAAAAAAAAGTTTTTTTTTAGGAAAAGTTGAAAGTATCAATTTTTCTTAAAAATAAATTTTCAAAAAAAAAAAAGATTTTGAGGAAAAGTTGAAAGTATCAATTTTTCTCGAAATTAAAGTTTTCAAAAAATATTTTTGGGAAAAGTTGAAAGTATCAATTTCCCTTAAAGATAATTTTTCAAAGGGATTTTTGAGGAAAAGTTGAAAGTATCAATTTTCCTTAAAAATAAGTTTTCAAAAAATAAATTTTTGAGAAAAAGTTGAAAGTATCAATTTTTCCTGCACAAAAACAATCATTTTTTTCTTTTTTATTTTTTTTAATGTTAAATAATCCGACGATGGAGCCTCTGTAAGTGAAACAATAGTTTTCTTGCATACTCCTGAGGCGAAGGAATTTTTTCAATTTTCTGCTAAAAGTATTAGAGTCAATTGAGAATAATTTTTAATAATTAATTACTTGGTAAAATTTTAAAGCTTATTGGATAACACAAATTTAAGCTAGTACCATCTTTTGATGGGCGTTGTGAGGGTGCTATAACCTTCCTCACACGTAACCGAACTCTCGAACCGTATTCTGATTAGTAGATCTGAATCTATTCTTTTAAGGACCCTTAAACTTAGGTGTTCCCTGAAAGGATAGATTCCTTAGGTGATCAATCACACCTAGATAAAAAAGATTGGTAACGACTCTCTTAAGTCAATGTCTAGTGATAAATCATCGGATCTAAATGTTATGACAAACCTTACTAGCAAGAAAGAAAGAAAAAAGAATGGACATTGATTGGACATAATAGTCAATTGCTCTTACGCATGGTTAATAGGAAATTGACATGTAATATTTTATTTTAATATTAATAATATATATTAAAATAAATTTTTTGATAATTATTATAATAACTTTTCATTTATTTGATATAAAATTGACAAGTGTGTAATTTATTATAATAATACATTTCTATTATAATTACGAATTTTTTTATAATTATTTAAAATTATTATAATTTCACAAGTGCCCTAATTTATTATAATAATACACATCTATTATGATTACGACTTTTTTTATAATTATTTAAAATTATTATAATACCATTTTACAATTGTTATAGAAATACTTTTTCTAATATAATTAACTAAAAATTGGCATGTGAAATTTTTTAAAATTTATTATAATATCCCTATTAAATTATTTATTAAATGTTAAACAACATATATTAAAACAAGTTTCATGAAAATTACTTTAGTACCTCTTTGTTTATTTGATATAATTTTGACACATATCTAAATTTATTGTAATGTCTTTTTATTGTAATTACAACATGTTCCTCTTCTCATAATTAGTAAAAATTATTATGATGCCTTTCTATTATAATTACAACAATATTTTTGATTGATCAAAATTACTATAATGTTATTTTAATATAATTATAAAATACCTTTTTTACTATATTTGATCAAAATTATTATAATATTCCTTATATCAAACTTACAAAATGCTCTTCTTAACATAATTAATCAAAATTATTATAATATCTCTTATACCATAATTATATAAATGTCATGAGAGTGTTTCATAGAAAGTCAACATATAATATTTTGTTTCAAAATTATTATAATACTTTATTAGATTATGTATAAAATTTTAATATAATATAAAATCAATTACATATTAAATTATTAAAATATAAAATTTGGCATGTGATATTTTATTAAAAATAATCAAAATTAAATGATCAAATGAATTAAATAATTATATTTTTTATTAAAATAAAAAATAAAAAATAAAAAATATATATTTTAAAATAAAAAATACGCAATCCCCAACGTGGTAAGAGCCACACACTAGCAACCATGAAAGTTCTAGTTGATTGGGTCTTCCCTTAAAACCTTCACTTTTAATTCAATCATCTTCTAGAGCTAAGGTTAGGGTAAACCCGCCCCGAACCCGATACTATATAATCAGTACCCGACCCGACCCGAAATTAATAAAAATATTATTTTTTAAATATAAATATTTAAAAATATCATTATATAAATATATATATAAATAAATAATTAAAAAATAATTTTTTAAATAATATCGGGTCGGATATGCCTAAAACCCAATCCCGACTCGACCCCACCCCGATTATTTCCTAACATTATCCGACCCGACCCGAAACCCGAAATTAAAAAAAAAAAACCCGATCTCATAGGGTCGGGTCGGGTCGGAACCCATCGGGGTTGGGTTGAATTCCCATCCCTAACTAGGGTGAATAAGGGCGGCTGGCGAAGCCCGAACCCCTAGCTCTTGAGAAATTTCACAAGTCCTTAGCTTTTTCAAGAAAAAAAAGGAAAATTTTGATTTTGGCCCCAAACTTTTATAATATGATCCCTTATTTGTCAAAATTTATGGTTTAAGTGATCGATTTTATAATTATTGGCTACATTTTAGTTTGATCTTAATTATTACCTTGATTTTCTTTCATTTTGTTGTAAAAGAAAATTGTAATTTGAGGATAAAAAAAATATTATAAATGTTAAAATTTAAATTCAAAGTGTTATATGTCAATTCTTAAAAGATATAAAGTGATTAGTCTAAATATTTTACACTCAGTAATTATATCATTTTATTTGATAACAATTTAAAAGTTTTATGTGTTAGTGATCTTAAATTATTAGGATAATAAGATCATTATTTTGAGAAATAATATGATTTCTAATCTAAAAGGTTGGAAAAAATTTATCATTATGTAAAAATAATTTTCAATATTAATTTTGACTAATTTACTTTGACGAAAAGTTTAGTAACATTATCCAAGAAGTTGGCAAAATTTTTTTTTCTAATCAATTATTTTAAAAAAAATTTTACAGTTAAATAAAATTTTATTGATTAAAAAATATAACGAATTTATTTAATAATTTTTTAGAAATTATTTTAATCAAAATTGATTTTTATTTTTTAGTTTTTATAAAATAATATTTAATTATTTTATAAATTATTGTTTCAATGAATATTTATTTTTGTTTTTTCTTTTACAAAATTATTTTGAATATTTTGTATTTTATAATTTATTTTTTCATATAATACCAAATACAATAATTTAATATTAATAATAATTTATAATATTACACCAAACATGATAACTTAATATTACTGATGATCAAATCACTTTGATGATTTTATCATCATGCTAATTAGATCATTTGTTATTTTGAAAATGATAACAAATTCTATTTAAAAGTAATTGCATAAATAAATTGAATCAGTTATAAGATTTTGATTTCATTTTTTATGTATAAGTATTATTCTACTTGAATTTTTTTTTTTAAAATATTCTACTTGAATATTTCTAACTCCTTAAATCATGAAAAAGCCTTTTTAATTACCACAAAAAATGTTAATACTAATTAATACACAAGACGAATCAAAGAAAGTACATTAGTTAAAGAAAGTTTAGTGGCTATAGTTTGAATATAAATCAATTATTGTGAAACTTTCATTTTATTTCTTTCTTTTATCTTCTTTCATCCTTTGAATTAGTTTTTTAAAAACTTTTGCAACTTCTATTTTATTTTTAAAAAAAATTATTCTTTAAATTTTAATTTGCATTCAATTCTTTCCTATACTTATTTTAAAAAATATATATTTTCTATATAATATTAATATGTCTTTAATAATTTAAATATAGATATGATGATTTGTATATTTGTATCGTATCAAATATTAAAATTTACATATTTATATTATATTTTATATAAAAATTACATATCATAATTCGTATCGACATAAAAATATAAAATACATTTATTTATTTTTGTTAAACTATATATATAATTATTGCTAAAATTTTAAACTTTGTTATCTTTGAATAAATCTGATAATTTATGTATTTACATTATATAAAATACTGATAATTTATGTATTCATATTGTATTTTATATAAAAATTACATATCATAATTCATATCAACATAAAAATATAAAACATATATTTTTAATTTTATTAAACTTATTTATAATTTTTACTAAAATTTTAAATTATGTCATTTTTATATCATTTTTATGTCGTATTTAAAATTATAGAATTTACTTTTATATTTTATTTTTATATTATATTCATATCACTATTTATATTATCTAATTTTAGATTGCTAGGTCTATTTAAACGCCATGTCGTTTTAAGCTCCTTTCCTTCCGGATCAAAAACCTGTTTTGTCACTTGTTATTGTAGTCTGCGGAGGGCACATGAGAAGGTTTTCCTCTGCAACTTCAAGGTTTACTCCATCACTCAAAAACCTCACTAAAACCCCCCAAAATGCAACAATTTTGTACCGGAGCGAATCCAAAAATAGCATTCCAGCTTCTTCAAGAGGTAACTCTCCAGTTAATCATCATTACATTTCTCAGATTCTTTCAAGAAACGACTGGTTTGTTCTGCTAAACCACGAGTTAAAAGCCAAGAGGATAAGTTTAAATCCTCAGTTTGTAGTAAGTCTCCTACAAAATCAAGAAAACCCATTATACCCTTTGAGATTTTATATCTGGGTTTCTAAAATTGACCCCTTATTCGCTAAGAATCAATCGGTTAAGGGTGTTTTGGCTACTGCTCTTTATCAAAAAGGTCCGGTTTTGTTATCTGTTGAATTGGTTAAAGATGTTAGGAATTCAGATCTTAGTGTAAATGAAGATTTGCTTTGTCTTTTGATTGGTAGTTGGGGAAGATTAGGTTTAGCTAAGTATTGTTCTGAGATATTTGGGCAGATTTCATTTTTGGGGATTAGTCCTAGCACAAGATTGTATAATGCCGTGATTGATGCATTAATAAAATCCAATTCACTTGATTTAGCTTATTTGAAATTCCAACAAATGCCAGCCGATAACTGTAAACCAGACAGGTTTACATACAATATTCTCATTCATGGCGTTTGTAGAACTGGTGTCATGGATGAGGCTCTTCGGTTAGTCAAGCAGATGGAAGGGTTGGGATATTCGCGGAATGTGTATACCTATACGATCTTAATTGATGGCTTCTGTAATGCTAGGAGGGTGGATGATGCATTTAGACTTGTGGAGACAATGAAGAGGAGCAATGTGTTTCCTAATGAAGCCACCGTGAGATCATTGATTCATGGGGTGTTTCATTGTGTGGCTCCACGCAAGGCATTTGAGTTGTTGATAATGTTTTTAGAGAAGGAACCTATGATACAGAAATTGGCATGCGATACTCTACTGTTTTGTCTTACAAATAACCATATGGCAAGAGAAGCTGCATTATTTATGAAGAAACTTTCAGGGAGAGGCTATATGCCTGATAATTCAACTTTTAATCTTACGATGACATTTTTGATAAAGGAATTCGATCTTGATGAGACATGTCAGATTTTGGATAGTTTTATCGAGCGAGGTTTGAAACTAGGATTTAATACTTATCTTGCACTAATTCAAGCCTTGTACAGTGTAGGACAATGTGTTGAGGGTGATCGGTATTTTGACCAGATGAGTAAGGATGGGTTGTTATCAACTGTTTTTTCGTATAACATGGTGATTGATTGCTTCTGCAAAGCCAGTATGATGGACAGGGCAAGAATGACTTTTAGAGAGATGTGCCTTAGAGGTATAGCTCCTACTCTTGTTACTTTCAATACCCTTATTGGTGGGCATTGCAAGATTGGACAGGTACATGAGGCTAGAAAATTTCTGGTAATGCTTTTAGAATCTGGTTTTGATCCGGATATTGTCACATTTAGTTCCATAATTGATGGGCTTTGTCGAGCACACATGATTGAGGATGCTTTTGATTGTTTTGCTGAAATGTTCCAGTGGGATGTCACTCCAAATGATGTTACATACAATATATTGATTCGTTCTTTGTGTGTAATTGGGGATGTTGCTAGAGCAATGAAACTTGTAAGAAAAATGCAAGCCACCGGAATAAGTGCTGATATTTTTTCTTTCAATGCCCTCATTCAAAGTTTTTGTAGAATGAAGAAGATTGGGAAAGCAAAAGAGCTTTTTGTCACCTTGCTGACATTGGGCTTGGATCCTGACAATTATACCTATGGCGCTTTAATTAAGGCGTTGTGTGAATCAGAAAGATTTGATGAAGCTATACAGATGTTTCATTCGATGGAAGCTAAAGGGTGTATTCCTGATTCTTATACACGCAATTTAGTTTTGGAGTCTCTAGTTCAGAAGGGTTACTTGGAAGAGGCTCGGGATATTATAAAACGATGCAATCAGAGGGGTACTAAATTGAAATCGATTCCTGGGCTGTAGGATGCTATTTTTACTGGTTTCTGTATGTAGAGACTATTGTTGAGATTTTAGGCTGTGGGCTGATGCAGTCATAAAGCATTTTACTGTTGCTTTCCATGCTACCTCATTTACCTCGGCAGAATTGGTATCAGCAGAATGTAACAAAACAACCAGCGGTCTATCCATTTGTTTATGTCGTATTCTCTGCTAAAAAAGTTGCACTTATTATCTGGTGGGATATGCATTTTCGGTTGTGTACTTGAATGACCAAATACCAGTTGTCGAGTAATTAACTTTAGACAAGACACTCTGCACTCTCAATTTATCTTCTCATATTCATAGAGGCTATGCTGCTATAGTGGAAAATGAAATTTGGCACATATTAACAGAAATTCTGACCTTACGTGAAGTAGAATTGCATAATCAGAGAATGGATTTTATCATTGGCAGTTTTGTGAGGCTTTGTTAAGTACAGCTGAGTTGAGTTGATGCGGCTTGCATCCAGCAGCTCTATTTCCCCTAGAATTAACATGGTTATACTTATCAAGTGCTAACAGCATTGTGATGTGCTTCATTTTGTTCTCTCTATGTTTAAGCCTATTATTGTACCACTACTACTATAATAAATGTCATGTAAGGAGGCTATCCAAGAGAAATATGGTTCATTTATTAAAAGAGACATAATCAGCAGAAAGATTTATTGCTTGAATGCCACAGCTATTAGTGAATGTTTAAAGTTTTGTGCATATGATGTTTACTGAAAAGACTTCCACTTGAAATGCTATAATTTCCTTCACAAAGCGGTATATTTATTAGGTCTATTTCAAGCTCACTTAGGTCTGATCGCCATTTTTGCATGTTTTCACTCAGCCAGAGTGCTGCAAATGCTATTATGTTGCCCTGATGGTATTGATTTTTTTTTTCTAGGAGTTTTGTTTGGCCATAAATTAAACCATTAATTTTGCCCTATAATGAAACGAAACCTCGACTTGCACTAGAAGTATCAGAATGCTATACGTTTTTAGGTTTGATTTATGTCACTGGTCAGCTGGTAAAAGTTGGTGACTTCCACTCCATCTGCTCCATTCCTACGAAAGTCTGTCATTTCTCCAAAGTTTACCCAAAACAATGGAAACAAGCAAAATGCTATCCTTTTTCCAACCAAATTTTGCCAAACTCACTTTAATCCATACTTTGTATCAGAAAAATTGTTCTATTCAATTGTTTCTAGGCCACTGCCAACAGAACTAGAGTACATAAATGACACTGGCTTTGGGAAGGTTCATTTGTTGCACTGTTTCAACAGAAACCGGTTTATGTTTCGTGCTGAGGCTGAAAATTTGCATCAGACAACTGACCATCGTATTTCTAAGGTTGTTCACATACAATTACTATATAATTAGCCCCAATTCATCCTTCCACTATTATTTGTTCAAACTGTCTGTAAGCTTCTGAAATGGCAGTCTTGTCTACAGTCAAATTATGGGTTTTAGCTCTAACTATGGTGTGCATGTCTATTTTCTGCTTCTACTCAGGTATCTGACAAAGAAACATGAACTTTTCTCCTAGCTATTCATTCATTCTTGAAGCGTATTAATCCTTTGCCGCAATCCTTGACAGGGAAGGCGGATGAAGGTGTGCCTCAAACGGGTGCTGTAGTCGGTGATCCAGCTGAAATTGTTGCCAAGGCATTGCTATGTTTCAATGATAAATATGTAAGCAAAGTCTTTGGACATGCATATCCATGGTTAAACAGGCTTAACATTTGTCACATGATAATCTGATATCTCCTTTCCTAGTAATATTTTGTGAGGTCTGAGTAAGAATATCTTATAGGAATTGTTTTCTTTGTTTACATTTGGGTAACTTTCAGATTTATAGCAGCTGTGAAGAATCTTACCGATTGACTGCAACTGGAAACCTAGATGTTCCCCCTGACTACGCTGATACATATTGCAATGGACCTTGCCTGTCAGAGACACACCTTGTGCTCAACTGTATAGAAGGCATCATGATAAATTTCCTGTTCTACAATAAGGCCACGATTCAGGATATTAGAGACACAATCCAGGCAGGATGTGGCTATGGTCGTGAAAGAGGTAGTTTCCGAAATCAAGTTTGTAGAAATATTGTTCCGTTTGGTTTTCCATCAAATTCCATAATCTGTTCCTCTGTTTGTGTAGGTAATTTTAATGTGGCAGAACACATTCAAGCTGAGAGCAGTGCAAACAAGGCGGCCACTCACATTTTATTAGGGTTGATGATTATTGGACTCACTCAGTCACTCTATTACCTATGACATGTTTAATTATCCGAATCCGGAGTCACTCTGTAGGATTTACTTTCACAACTTTGAATTTCTCTGTTTCAAAATGAGGGCAATAAAACATGACAGTAGTTTACCGAGCATCATATAATATATATACAACTTTGTTTGATTGTAAGATATTTACAACTTTGTTTACTGTTTTCATTCCGAAAGCAGTATGATTTTGCCATTGTAACCGAATATGGTCGACAGGAATCTTGAAAAAGAGCCTTGCTGAGTGGACAAAAAGGTTATTATTACCTGTAATAGTGGTCTGTCTATGCTTCTATGGGGTTAACGAAACTATAAAGATTGGCCTTGGTGTGAACCATGCAGCAGTAAACTTGGAATCTATGACAATAAAACCTGATAGCCAGCAATGATTCTGGAATGAACAAGAAATTTGATGCCTTAAAAATCAATTATTCACCAAGTTACAAATTTATTTTACAAATTCAGTTCAGACTCGAAGATAAAGGGCCTATTAAAGTACCCTTTTAATCTCTTTTTTATCAAAGGCCATGGTTAGAACTTAAAACTACCTCTCCCTCCATTTTTCCAGTAGTGGATCTCTTATCTTTAGTTCTTTAGCCCTAATGGCGTCTTTCAAGAACACGATCTCTAGTTTGATGCAACTTTCAAGAACCGACCCGTGCCTTCTCTCTCGATCAGGGACCGATAGTTTCTACATTTCCTGGCTGATTCTTTCTCTCTTTTTCCTTTCATCATCACTCACCGAGCGTTCATCAACCGCATTAGCCTCAGCCTTGGCAACTCGCCTTCGCTATGCTGCAGACTACATTTCTTCATTCACTTTCGTTTCTTCGTCCAACACTTTCCTCGTCTCTGACTCTCGAAGTAACTGTACTCTTTCTTCTGTTACCACAGTCGAAAGAACTCCTGGGAATTCCGTAAAAGATGGAAATTATTTGATAAAAGACCTTAGTTCTTGTGTTATCTTCAATGGTAATTGGGTCTAGGATGATTCTGACCCTGTTTACCTACTAGGGTCTTGTCCCTATATTGATGATTCTTTTAACTGCTTCAAAAATGGTTTGTAGGTTTCAGTTACGTTAGATATCGATGAAAGCCGTTCGATTGTCAAATTCCAAGGTCTAAAATTGAGAGCTCTCTTCAAGATTCATAGAAAACTAATCCTTTCTAGTTTCTACAAATTTGTTGGTTCTTATGGTTGTCGAATTGTGTAGGTTTGATGGGAGGAAAATGTTGGAAATATTGAGAGGGAAGAAACAGGTTTCGTTAGTGATTCTTTGAATAGGAACATGTGGGAGTCTTTGGTCTGTGCAGTGGGAGAATCATTGAAAGATAAGAGAAGAACCTTTTCAGTTTCCAATAGGAGTGAGTTGAGGACTCAAGGCTTCTATTCTCAATCCTTGTCCAAGAATGGAAAACCACTGATAAAAGTGGGACGAAAAGAGAGACAGTGAGACTTGACATGATCCAGGGTTCTAAGTACAGCAATGCTGATATAATTGTCTTCAACACTGGTCATTGGTTGACTCACCAGAAAACCAACAAAGGGTAAAATCTGCTGCCATTTTTTTCTCCATTAGTTTCTGAATAACCACAAAATTTCTGATAGGCATTGGTGTTAATAGCAACAAAAATTACTTCCAGGAAGGCAGCCATGTCTATAACAGATTAGAAATAAAAGAAGCACTTACAAAGGCATTGAGAACATGGGCACAATGGGTTGATGCTAACATTGATAGAAACCGAACCAGGGTCTTCTTCGCCGGATACTCAGCTTCTCATTTCAGGTGAAAGAAAAAAAAGGCCTAGTAATAGTAATTGGCTCTCTTGTACTCTTTGGCATATCGGGAAAGGGCAGTGGGATACTGGTGGGCATTGCCATGGTGAAACAGAACCTATAGCAAATGAGACAAGTCTTGCACCATATCCATGGATGATGAGCATCCTGGAATCTGTAATAGCAGAAATGAAAACACTAGTATTTTATCTCAACATAACCAAGATAACAGCCTATAGAAAAGATGGGCATCCTTCGATTTAGCGACCGCTGGAGATCCTGAGAACCCGACATGTTCCGAGATTGCAGCCACTGGTGTCTCCCTGGTGTTCCTGACTACTGGAATGAGCTTCTCTATGCCACCCTGCTAACATCTAGCCATGACTTAGCAAAATAATTGCTAGCCCACAGCCTCAACCACATCAATTTGTTTCTCATTTTTGGTCTCCAAGTGTAATGTAGTTGTTCTTGTCTTCATATTCATCAAACTTCTGTTTGATCAAACCAGTGTCAACCATTGGACTGCCCTACTTTTATAAATCAAAATGAGGCTACTTTTTTATTGGAGACAAAAAATTCTTTTTTTTTTTTTTTGTCTAAACGAACGTCCAAATTTATTATAAAAAAGCAAATTTTGATGCACAAAACTCCTTACTTTGTGAGAGTTGGGATGAAAGTTTATAATATTTTCTTTACATCTTTGATAAAAACTGTTTTTAAAATTTGAGTTTGTGATTTTTCACTCACAAATATATTATGAGATACATAATTAAGCTCCAAATTAATTATTTTACTAAAAAACCATAAATTTGCCTTAAATAAAATTTATAATTTTTTTTAGATAATTATTATTTTTCTAACTACATAATTAAATAGAGAAACTATACTACAAAAATAGGTGTCATAAAGTGATTGGCTTCCCTTACATAGAAAAATCTCAAGTGCTAACGACGGTATAGAATAAAAGCTCTCCCGCACCTCACCATGTCGACATATAAATCAAAGAGGAGCTCCCGTAAATCTCAAAACGACGGAGTTTTCTTCTCTTTTCAATTCCTTAGCTCGCACGTTCAAGCTATTCTGATCTCCGATCAGAATCGGAAGAAAACGGCATTTCATCGGCGAACAAGACAGCAAATAAAATCAACCTAAATTGAAAAAGAAATAGAGGAACATGATGAAGATCGACGTGAACGCGATGGCTCGTAGAGTCGAAGTCGATAATCGAATTCCTCTCCGCTATTATTATCGAATCGCCGATAATCTCCTCAAACAGGTTCTCTTTGGAATTCTCCTCCTAATGTTACTCTTTTCTTTATAATTACGAATTTATGATCGTTTAAGTTTAGCTTAATCTCAGTTTTAATCATGCCTTTTTGAAGTTATAATTACTGTTGAATTCGTAATTTTAATGCTTAGATTAGCTTATTTATGCTAATTAATTGTCGTAATATTTGAAAATTCTAGTAATTTAAGTGGTTATTAGCTTCGTTTGGAACATGGCCTAGCGAAATCTTGGTATGTTTCTACTAGCTTGAAATATTAGGTATATTTAGAGGGTTTTTTTATGTAATTTTTGAAAATTTCAGGCAAGCATTTACGGAGGCGAAAAGAATATAGTAGATTTGTACATAATACTACTTAGATATTCAAGGTGAGTAAAGCTTAATTTTGATTGAATTCATTATGCTAAATTAATTTGAGTAAGCTTATTTGTGAATTTATTTTTGGATCAGTTTGGTGTCGGAGACAATACCTTTCCATCGAGATTACCAGGTTTTGCTTCTGAGAGAAAAGTCGGTATATAGGAAGGTGAGTTTTAATTGTTGTACTTGGTGCTCTATGATGTGAGTCCACTTGTATGGTATTTGATGATGTTTTGATTGTAATGTTTCTTTTTTGTAGAGACTTTTAGCTGTTCTTGATGAGCTTGAATCTTTGAAACCAGAGGTTCACCAGAGAGTTGAGGAACTAAATAAAGCTCATGCAGGGGCTCAATTAATTGAACTTGATGGACATGAAATCAGTTCCTACGGCTTGGAGAAGATGTCACCTTTAGATTGGCCTTCAGTAAATAAAGGGTATAATATGAGCTTGGATATTAAGAAGGTAGTAAACCATTTATAATTGGTGGAGGAAATGGGATTTGATTATGTAATTATTGATATGTATGGTTGTCCAATTTGTTTTCTTGTTTTTTGCTTGCATTTTTTGAGTTGAATGTCCAATATTATAGCTCTGCTTTTCCTTTTTATTTGGATGCAGCCTGCCAACGTGGCAGTTCAGCCTTCATGGAAGTATAACAATGATCGTAATCAAGTTGACAAGCAGTTCCACAAGTTGTGAGGCTTTTTTTTTTCTTCTTGTTAATGATACATTATGATTTGAATCATTAATCTCTAAGCCGCATGTTTTCAATCTGAAAATCAGCAGATGTATGAGTGGGATTCATTAAAATTCAACTTTGTACTTTTATCAGGTATCTAGAGAAAGGGAGTTAATTGAGGTGAAAATCATGGCCATGCATACAATTCCATATGTTTTATTTCTGCTCTTTGTTCAATGTCATATTCATTTGTGTTTGTCCGCCTAGCTCCTCATTGAAGATTGAAAGTATTAGAAAATAAGAATTAGTTCAAAACTTTTTCTCGGAGGCTGACATGTTCTAATATTCCTGGATATATTCAGGTCTTTTAATATACCTCTTCCAAATAAGGAAACTCTTTCTAGACACTCATTTCTAGGCCCTAACGGTCTTCAAGGCCAGTGGCGTGGACCAAGTGCAGAGATAAAGGTAAACCCCTGTCTGTTATATCTCCATCCTTGCCTTCTTTCCCTAGTCATTGTATAGTCTTTTTTTTTGCATGCTGAACTGCAAAACCTGCGTCAAATAATTGATTCTTCTGTGTAATACAGGTTCAGTATCCTAGCAATATGGATCTGGTACCTGCTGAAAACTCGGGGTAGGACTTCCAAAAAGTCTTATCATTCTTCTTTTACCTGACATGGATACTTTTCCTACCCATGATAATGTCCTTTAACCTTAGATATTCTGAAAATATTAAAAGAAAATATGTGCTGAGACTTCTAGTTTGTGTTGCTATAATATGGCTGCTTTAACATTTGTCTATTTGGTGTCGCAATTTGTTATAGCCTGAATCAGGCTGGACAATATGGTCCTTTGGCTGTAAAAGATGTTGATCCAGGAGGTGTTGCTTCTGCTATGGAGTCAGTGCTCTCCTTAGATGATGGTCGATGGTTACATTCTGCTGAAGAGTCGTGTCCCCCTTTGATTAATGAAGCAAGTGAGGATCCTTTCCAGTTTGTTGGTATCAAACAACCTTCTCCTCCTCCTGTTCTTGCTCAAGTGCGGCAGGACTTTAGTCCAATTCCTCCATCAAAAGTTGCTGATCCAAGACCTGGTCCAGCAAAGCCTTCTCAAGATGGAATGCCAAACCCTAATTCATATCAACATTTACATGTTGTATGTCTCCTGTATCAATTCTTCTTCTCTGTTGCTTGGTGGAATTGGACGATTATCAGATTTTGGCCTTCTAGATTGATTTATATTTGATTTGTTGACTTATTCTGCAGCCAGCACGAATGATGGAGGATTTCTTACGACTGGCTCAGGCAAATACTGAAAAGAATTTGGAAACATGTGGTGTTCTAGCTGGATCATTGGTGAGAAAATTATAGGTTTTTATGTTGATAAGTTTTTGTTTAAAAGAATTAGGAAGTAGGAGCTTCAAAGTTGCTGCAGAAGGTTGTTTATAGTTTTAATTTTGTGGCTGTAGAAAAACAGGGTTTTCCACATCACCACGCTTATAATCCCAAAGCAGGAGTCAACCTCAGATTTTGTATGATATATTATTCTTTCTAATCTAATTTTTTGTGCTTCTGCGAACTAATGTTACTTGTACGAAAAAGAGCTAACCACTTTTAAGGTTCATTCTGGCAATTTGCTTGTTTCCATGTGCTTTAGTACTATTGAATTGATACATTTTTTTTTTTTTATATTCAGTGTTCAACATTAAATGAAGAAGAAATTTTTGAAGTTCAAGATAAATTATCTCTTTTTCCTCTGGGGTGGATTCATGTAAGTTCAGAAGCCTTGAGTTTCCCATGGATATATCTGTGATTACGTTTCCTTTTCCTCTTTATGTTTTCTTGTTAGTGAATACATTTGATGAGTTTGGCAAAAGCTCACAGTTCTTTATCATATATTCTGTTTTGCACTGCTGTTATCATTGCTATATTATCCCATTATTATACACACACAAACTTGTTATTCTGAAGTCAACTGGGGATTTTGTGGTTTATGAAGCTTCCCTTGGTAGCTTGAACTTTACCTAATTCTCATGTGTAATGTGCACTTGGAGATATAAGAAAGGTTCTAGTGTATAATTGGTTGGGTACCTGGAAGTATCGTAGCAATTTGTATCCAGAAGACATTGCTTCTATCCTTTTGTTGGGTTTTGCACTTATGTAGGGCATTATCTTTTCCATAGCACTTTGATTTACTTATAGTTTTGTGAAGTTCATGATTCTTTGAGGTCTTTTTTTTCACTTATAATTTTGCTATACAATCTCATCTAATATTTTTTTATTTTTCTTCCTTTGGTTAGTATTGCATGGTATTATAATATGCATTACTTCCCTCGATCTCCTTCATGAAGCAGGATTTATGTTTGAGTAACCTATGTATTTGACTAGAAATTTGTTTTAGACTATGTGTTAGGTAGTGAGAATCTTGTATGTTGATTTCTGAACATCTTAGTGCGTTCTATAGGCTACTGATTTTACTCTTCTAATAAGTCTTCATGCTATGCAATTCTTACTTTGATTTTCAGACACACCCAACTCAGACTTGTTTCATGTCGTCGGTTGATCTTCACACTCATTACTCATATCAGGTAAAAGAACAAGCACTTGTTATATATACCCTGTCTTATAGTGTGCTTCGGTCTTACTGCATATTGCCATTCATTTCCTGTCTCCTTCAAGATATAAATTACATATTATACATTTCTCTGACAAAATTTTTTTTTTCTGGGGCATTTTTTTAGATTATGTTACCAGAAGCAATTGCAATTGTTATGGCCCCAACTGATACATCCAGGTAGATTCTCATTTTCCTCCCAATGATCATGGCATTGAATCCAATGAAATAAGACTAACATTATACTTGTAAAAAGCAAATCTATCACAGATAGACAATTCTTTCCTATTATTTGCATATTGCACTACCAGGATACTTGTAGTTAGTAATTATGTACTAGTATTTCAACCTTATGATAGAAAGGAATACATCTACCAAAAGAAAATGAGATGAAGATATAACTTTCTGCATGAGAATAAGGAAAAACTTTTTTTGTTTTTCACTGAAGGGTGTGAAAGAGATGTTTTTCCTTGCTCCATACGCAGAAGCGTATTCTGTCTTTAGATTTTCATTGGATTATTCTCATGTCTTAAACAACTAATTTATCTGCACAATTGATTGTGACATCCCAATCCCACATCGAAAGATTTTGAAAATCTGTTATGATATATAAGTAAAAGTTTAAATCCAAATTTGTGAGATGCCTTTCAAAATTGTAAGATTTTCGGGTTAAAACAGACAATATCTCATAGGTTGGATGCAAGTCTCTGTACTGATGATGTTGAAAATGATTAAAAGTTAGAAGGTTAAATATTGTTATTATCTACTTTTGCTCACTTTTGCATGTTAATAAATGTTGCATTCTATTGCAGCCCGCATGGCATCTTTCATCTGTCTGACCCAGGCGGTGTGTCCGTTATTCGTAATTGTCAGCAACGAGGATTCCATCCCCACGAGGAGCCTTTAGATGGAACCCCAATCTATGAGCATTGCTCTCATGTCTTTATGAACCCCAAGATAAAGTTTGATGTTGTTGATCTCCGGTGAGATTCGATGTCTCAACGTACCCTGATGAAGTATTGCTGGGAAACTTTTTTCCATGGAAAAGAAATGAAGTATCCCTATTAAATAATTGTTTTTCTGACGTGGATCTCGTAAATTCAACTTACGAGAATCATCGTACAAATAGAGCATACCCCTTTTTTTTTTTTTCAATCATGTTCTAAGAATTACATTCACTCATTCCTTGCTCGCTTTGTACTGTATATTAACTTATTAAGACCTGTTTTGTAAAGGAAAGGTTTAGTGACAGATTAATTATTACATTGTTTCCCAATTTGGTTTTTTATAGGAAGAATTTGGACAGTAAAATCTTAAATGCATCGTATTGATTAAGCATGTAAACAGTTAAATTAATCATGAGTTATTTGGATTCGATTAAGTTTGAGTTATTCAAGTAATTAGAAATTTTTGAATAATTTAATACCTAGAATGAGAGTCCAATCAAATTTTTACTTTTTAATATATTGAATATATATAAATGAGTGAATGATAGAAATGTAATGTTTAACGATCGTATTCTAAGTAATTAGTGAAATTTGAATAATTTAATATTTGAGTTTGTAAACACTTTTTTTTTTCTTCTTTTTTTTTCTTTTTTGGCACATTTTCTTCTAGTCGCTAGCAATTGCACTACCAATAGCTAGGTGATCACCATTTTAACGGTCACCGATAGTCCTAACAGCAACCTTAACTCTAGGCAGTCAAAGTTGAGCAAACTCTTAGAAAATTTAAGATTTTGATTCTAATCTGGCTCTATAAATAAAGCTATAAAAGAAGAGGAAAAAATGGAAGCCATCGAAAAAAAACTTCTCCTCTCGGCCCTTATGCCTCGGATACCAACCTCTGCCTCAAAGAGTTCTCTAAGTCCCTTAGCGAGAAAGCTTATAATTGGTATAAGAACCCCAGTTTTGGGGAAGGAATGATTGGATTATTGTAAGATTGAATATAAATAAATAAGACTTTTATTCTATTACTAATGGAATCCTAAGCAAAGAAAATAACATAGTCGCCGTGGGTCGCGTCGCCTCTTCTTCAAATGCTTTACCTCGTAAGACATATATCACTTATGAAGTAGCTTCGATCCACCTATCAGGGCTATCTTTTCTAGGCTCAAAACGTACTTTTTTATCTAAAAAAATACATCCTTACCAATGGAACTCTTACTTTATTTTCCTTAGGATGGAAAGAGGAATTAAATTGACTTCATCTCAACTTGACCTCTTAGTTGCTCCTGAGAGAAGACCGAACTAAAGGCTTATACCAGATCAAAAAATCTTGCTAGCTCTAAGAAAATCTTTGTTAAAAAAACCCAAAAATACCAAACAAAAATATTAAAAAAAAAACACAAACATGAAGAAACTCAATCTTTGGTAGCGAAAATTTTAGAGCCTTTAAAAAAAAATACAAAAAAAACTTTGGCTGTAACTTGGGCCTCAATCTACGTAGTTTGAGATCGTTTCACACAAAATTAAGTTTGGATATGAATTTAAAGGGTTGAAATGAAGATTTTTTGAAGTTTATGGGTTTTTCAACAATCGACGATTGGCAGATGACGACGGTAATCGATGAACGACACAACGCATCGATGTTAAATTTTGAAAGTAACGACGGCCAACTAAAGTTAGAGAGAGAGTCCGGGAAAGAGAGAGAGGAAAGTAGCGAGAATTTTAGAGCCTTTAAAAATACCAAACAAAAAAATTAAAAAAAAAACACAAACATGAAGAAACTCAATCTTTGGTAGCGAGAATTTTAGAGCCTTTAAAAAAAAACACAAAAAAACTTTGACCGTAACTTGAGCCTCAATCTACATAGTTTGAGATCGTTTCACACAAAATTAAGTTCGGATATGAATTTAAAGGGTTGAAATGAAGATTTTTTGAAGTTTATGGGTTTTTCAACAATCGATGATTGGCAGATAACGACGGCAATCGATGGACGACACAACGCATCGATGTTAAATTTTGGAAGTAGCGACGACCAACTAAAGTTAGAGAGAGAGTCTGGGAAAGAGAGAGAGGGAAGAAGGAAATTAAATTAAAAAAAATTAAGCTCTTATAATTACTGCCAAGACCAAGTTTAGGACTAAAAAAACTTACGCGTCAACCTAAGATCTAACCCGAGATCCGTGCATTCAACCCTGTGACCCAGCACCCCTCAACTGTTGACTGGTCCAGTTGAACCATTGATCGATCTAGATTATTACTGACTGGCCTATCTAGATTAACGTTGACTGGATCGTTGACTGATCCGATTTAGGTAAAAAATTTTGTTTTTAGATTTTTTTATTATTTTTAATATTTTAAATTTTATTATTAGTATTTATACATGTTAAAATGTTTAAATTTACTAGAATAAAATTTTGTTGTTTTTATAATATTAATAAAGAACAAAATAAATAAATAATGAAATACATAGTTAAAATTTTTTATAATCTTGTTAAAATTTGGAATAAACTTTATAAAGTAATGATACAAAAATAATAATAATTAATAATTAATGGCTATGATTCCTAACCTTTGCTGAATTTTTAAAATTAAAAATAAAAAAAATTAGTAAAATTATAAGAAAAGAAAATTTTTATCCGACAATGATATTTAAAGGTATTTCAAGTAATTATACGTATGAAATCTTTAAATGAGAAGATTATTTTAAATACTATCAATTGTATTGGAGTATTTATAAAATGTTTTCAATATAATAAAAATTTTCTTTCTTTTTTTAGCTATAAAGTAGTAAGTAAAAATTAACTAATTTGTTAACAATAAAGTGATAAAAAATGAGAAAAAAAATTTATCTTATGATGAGATTCTAAAAGTACTCTAAAAATGATGCTTTACGAAATGCTTAGGTGAGAATATTTTTTTAAATATTACAAATATATTAGAATATTTATAAAAAACCTTCAATTTAATAAAAATTTTTGTTTTTCTCTAAAACAATAACAATAAATAAAAATAATAATAAAATTTTTTAGAGTAAAATAAAATGTGTGCATCAACATATTATTATTTGCATTACATGCACAATGTAGTTTTTTTTATGAAAAGCAAATCCCAGTCACCGAAGATAGGATTTTAAAGTATTTTTAGAAGCGATGCCCAAAAAATCTTTATGTAAGAAAGAGTTCTTCTAATGTTACTAACGTACCGAAACATTTTTACAATTATTTTAATAAAATGGTTTCAATTTATTTTTATTGAATAAAAATGAAATAATAATAAATAAATAAATTTAATAAAAAAAATTCCAATAAACGAAAGAAGTCAAGAAAACTATTTTCAAACACAAAAAATAAGATTATTTTTATTAAAATCAATGGATAACACATAATTAATTTGTACCTTTTTAAACGGATGTTGTAGGTGTGTTAATCTTTCTTCATGCGTAACCGACTTCTAAACTCAGATTATTTCACAAACAGAAAATTATCTTTTTAATAAATTGTAATTAATTTTAAGATTTTATTAAAAAAATATGTTTTAATAGGTAACCAATCGTACTTAATTAAAAAAGATTGATAGCGATTTTATTTTTTATTTTTTTTTCTTTTCATCTTCAAATTCATCAGGCAATCATAAAATTGTTACGATAGAGTTTAACGTTTAATCAAATTTTTATTTTTTAATATATTTAATATATATAAATAAATAAGTGAATGATAGAAATATAATGTTTAACAATGATATATAATTTTATTGAGTCTAATTAAACTTATTAATCGAGTTTGAGCGATTTAATTAAATCTAAGCTGAACTTAAGCATAAGAAAAATAAAATGTTATCGAGTTTGAATTTTCAAATCAAGTTGAGTTTAAAATTAATGGTTTATCAACTTGATTTAATTTCATTATTGAAGCAAGAAAGTGCATCCTTAAATTGTCCAATGGACATTCTTATTCATATTACCAAAAAAAGACGTAACTTCCATAGTTGGAGGAAAAATGAACGGTAAATGCCAACATGTAAAAGAATCATTGCAAAATTCATCAATGGTAACCTGATTTGCCATGCTTTCTGATCATATTCATGGCAGAAAAAGCCATGTCTTACAATTGGCATTGGGGGGGTTGTTGAGCAAATAAAGAGAGGCTTTTAAGGAAAAGGACGCAGGCTATAAATTCGCCGTGATCACTTTTAATTGCCATCTCTTTCCTTCATCTGGATTGTGGACCACTCTCTCTCAAGGCTTCCTAACCTGTCCCAAAAACAACATCTTGTCACCCCCGACGTTGATAACTCATCAACATTCCCCTTCTGACTGCCAAACTCCCATTATGTAACCGATATTATGTAAACGAAATTTATTTTTTTTAAATACCAATTTAATTAATTTCAACAAGTGTCAACGCCAGTGTTTAAACGTATCTATTAATCAGATTTTAATCTTACATTAATTGTTTCATCATTTTTGTATAAAAATATTTTTATTTTTTTATATAATATATAATTATTGGATAAATTTAAAAGTGGGATTTACTAATTGATAATGAGTAACTTAATTAATTCATAAACAAAATATTATAATCAATTTAATAAATTATTATTATATTAAGGAAAATAAAAATCTTTGTAGTAATAAAAGTGGTAGGATTCCTTGAATTAGAATATACTCCAAACTTTTATAAATTCTCTGCAAGGATTTTCTTTCTTTCTTTTTTCTTTTTTTTTTTTTTTTACAAAAATATTTCATGCAATGAGGTTCTCTTCCGTACCGATAATAAATTCGTCGGCTTTAATAGAAATGATATAAATTGTTTGCATCAATTTCAGAACCAAAAACCATTAGATGAATTGTATCTCGAAATTTTAAAATATAATATAATAATATAAAATAAATAAAATATATAAACATAATATTATTTAAAACTTTAATAATAATTATATATAAATTTAATAAAAAATATATAATTTATATTTTCATGTTGATATAAATTATAATATATCATTTTTATATAAAATATAATATAAATATATAAATTTTTTACTGTACTAAGAATCATCAAATCTAAATTTTATTTAACTATACATGATTGTTGATAAAATGATACATTTTTAATTTTAATAATCAAAATGCAATCCCTTACCGATTCAATTTTTTTTTTAAATACATATTTTCCATAGCTATAATACCAATGGAGTAATGGAGGGTGAAAAAACATATATAGGCCCATCAAAGCAAGAGCATTAGGTAATGACACTGACCGCCATTAACGAGGTGCCAACCACCCATGATCATATAATAATTACTCCATTGGATGGAAAGAAATGAAAAAAGCAAGCTGTTGAAGAAATAGTTATCGGTTAACTATTAGTATTATTTTACACAGAGTTTATATTTAAAATATGATTAATATATAAATTTTATATATTATTAATAAATTAGATAATAATATTTTATTAATAAGTAACTATCAATCATTAATGTAAATATGCAAAAATTAAATTTTTTAAAAAAAATTTATTTATTAATAAAATATTATTATTATATTATTTATTTTATTAATAAATTATTATCATCTTATTTGTTAATTCAATAGTACATAAAATATAAATTTTTATATTATATATATATATATTAATGGATATAAGGTAATCTTTCAATTCTGTTGAATATGAAATAAATCCACCAACCTGAATTAGATAACTTTATATAGTAATAATTTTATATGGTTTCTCTATTATTACATAGTAATATTATAAATATTAATATTTAAATTTTAAACTTATTAATTATTTTAAAAAAATTATATAAATTATTTGAATTAAATTTTAAATTTATTATTAAATTTTTTTATTTTAATGATAATACATATCAACTTGAATCGATTTTATCGGCACAAAATTTTTAAGCGTGAATTTTTTTTTTTTTTGCATGTCTCGAGGAATATATTATGGCACCATGGGAGATATATTGATTGAGGAATACTTTATGCATATGTAAATTATATAATTATCGGTGTCATGATCATTATGCTAAACAAGACATAAACAGCTGTTTGGTAGCTAAATATGTCTTTAATTACTATAAAATGCCATGATTGACAGGGAGATCCATGTTTGATTGGGAAAATTAGTCTATACATAAAATCAAATTAATAGTGTTGATTAGAGATGTAAATGATACATTAATATTCATAAATTATTCGGATTGAAGAAAACTCGAATTCGATTCGATTATTATCGAATCGAGCTCGAGTAACTCGACTTATCGATCGAGCTGAATTCGAGTATTTTTATATTCATCTTGAGTAGTTCGTGAGCTTAATCGAATTTTTATATTTAAATATATTTTTATATTTTAATTAATAAAATATTTCGAATCTAAGTTTGAACATAAATAATCGAACTCTTGTCGAGTATATGAATCGAACTTATTTTTACATATTAATCGAGTAACTCAAATTTAATTACAAATCGAATTTAAATTTAAAAAATAAAACTCGATTAAATTCAAATCGAATATCAAATCTTAAATTATAAATTAAATTTAAATTTTTTATTTTATCTATTCAATTCGACTCGATTACTTTTGACTATGTGACAAGAGATTTGAGTTTTAACCCCAATATATACACAAAATCCCCGACAAATTCAATTATTACAAAAAAAGACGGTTACATTAGTCTCCCGTAACTTTCCTAACAACTGAATTGACTGCACTTTTTACTCCCACTGCTTTTATAGGGCGTAAACAGTCCCCTGCCCTCAGCCCTCAACTCCAAACCCCAAGGCTGCGAACATTTTGCTTGCCTAATCAAGGACGCTACATGCCGATACATTGGCAAAACTGATTTATTAGAATGTACAGTGACCATGTTTATATATTTAATAATTTTTTATGTGATATAAGATTAATGTATTTTATTTAATTTTTTAACAATCGATATGATATTTTTTTCATTTAATCTCACGATGTTTTCATCATAATTATCATTTTTTTAAAAATGTTTGACGTTGTTATAATTTTTATCATCATATCATATTTTAATACTTTATTAAATGATCAATTATCACATCTTAACTTTATATGTTATTAAATGATTAAATTAATTCACGTTGTTTACCTCTTAAATTATAATGTTTGACATAAAATCAGATAAATAAAAAATAATTTTTATATCATTTATCACGTGATTATTATTTTTTTTTATAAAATCAAGGTGTATAATATCAATATTTATATACTAAATAATCTTCCTTTTTCTACCTGATATAAGATTAATACACCTTTTGTACTCCTCTTGAGCGCTTGACAGGACAAAGGACACCCACCCTCGGTTGAAAGTTGAAACATAGATCTATATCTAGATCAACCTGTAAATTAAGTTGCCGCTCGTCACTTAATAGCCATCTGTTTCAGGAAATGAAAATTTCCCAAAGTAACAAAAAAAAAGAAAAAAAAAAGCTTAAAAAGGGGAAAAGTGAACGGGACTCGTGGAGTTTCCTGCACCATTCAAGAGTTTCAACAATTCATTTCCCTTCATTTGTTACTGTTTGGCTCTACCAAATTTTTAATGACCAAAGTACATATATTTCACACTCGTGCACTTCCTTAAAAATTTGCCTTTATAATCAACAAATTTTATAAAAAAAAAAAACAGTTTTAATAAATTAAATAAATCATCCTACGCAAATAATCTCTGTTAAGCAACAAAATCAGCAAACGATTTTCTCTACCAACTGCCCATCATCTCTCTCTCTCTCTCCTATTTAACCTCTTTCTGTACGTTCAAACTCTAGCTATTAAGCACCAGCTTCTTCTCTCCCTCTCTCGTGCTCTTGTTCAAAGGCCTTTGGGGAGTGAATGTGAGAGGGTAAGGAGAGAAATGGGGAGATCTCCATGTTGTGAGAAAGTAGGGTTGAAGAGGGGAAGATGGACAGCAGAAGAAGATGAAATATTAACAAACTACATTCAAGCCAATGGGGAAGGATCCTGGAGATCATTGCCCAAACATGCAGGTATACATACATACATACATACATATATATATATATATATATATATATACACAGACTTCATATATACAATCAAATGAAGAATAATTGTGTTTACGAAATAGTTTTTTTTTTTTTTTTTTAAGGTTTGTTGAGGTGTGGGAAGAGTTGCAGGCTGAGATGGATAAACTATTTGAGGTCTGGTTTGAAGAGAGGGAACATCACTCCTCAAGAGGAAGAAACCATTGTCAAGTTGCATAGTGCTTTCGGGAATAGGTAGACATTTTTTTCCCTTCTTTTAATTAATTTCTTTTCACTCTTAAACATCACATTGACAAACTCCATTGTTACTATATTATTAAGGTTTTTTATTTGAGTTGATACCCTTAAAATCGTTTGAAAAAAGAATTAAGATCGAACAAAATCCAGAAATATCTCTAGCTGTTTACAAAAAAAATGGCTTTAGAATTTAATTTTGAAGAACAACCTTGCATATGATACATCCTTTCATTTTTCCCATAAATGTTTTTTTTTTTTCTTTTTGAGGGCAAAAGAAAATGATTTGTTAAGACTTCGATTAAGTAGATACTTTTCCTTTTCGTTATTAATTATCTTTGATTTTCATTTCTTTTTTTTTGCAAAAAAAATTTTTAAAAAACTTTTTACTAAATGAAGTCTCAAGAATTTGGTGCCTAAGAGTATGCAACTTGTTACAATCTTATAAGCCATTTTGAAATTTTCACCTATTAACTCAAAATTTACAATTATAATTAAATAGTACATCAAAATAAAAAATTATTGAATTAATTCACACAAACAAATCAACTAACAAACCAACATATAATTATACAAATTCAACAAAAAAATAAGATCAAATCCACATATGATGCAACTTAATAATTAATCTAAAACCTTGAGTGATGAGACTTGAATCTGAAACTTTAAGTTAAAATTTTGAATATTTTAATTTCATCACTAGTAAGTGGATTATATACTTAATTTGTTTATACCTTCTAAGGTTTAAATTTGTTAATTTTGAACAATCAAAATTTTAGATTGAATAGTTCTTTAAATAACTATATTGCATGCATGGTTGAATTTGAAAACAAAATAAAAAAATTTTATATGCAAATTTGTGACTGAAGCCTAGTTAATTTTCTTAGCATAGATAATATAGTCTTGTCAACATCATAAGCTGGCATAATTTCCAAAATTGACTACGATAATTTTTTCTAAAGGATTTGTCAGTCCCTGAACTTTAGTGATTAATTTTGATGTTAAAAAGCCTTTAAGGTTTAGTTATTACGGAAAAAATTACCAGCTGAAACATGAACCAAGCCAAACCATATATATATAATATATCATATGTCAGGAACTGTATGCTTGAAGAAATCCAGCTTCTTAACTTCAGTGAGTCATATATATATATATATATATATATATATATAACAATCTCCTTCAAACTTCAGGCATGCAGTTTTATTATTTTCTTTTTTTTTTTTGGTACAAAGAGATCATAGTCTAAATATAAAGAAAAGATTTATTAATATTATGATATGAATATTAAATTGCAATGCTTCCAATCTCAAATCGAAACAATGTGATAATGTGATATGATATATATGATGAGATATAAATTTAAATTAATGAGATATTTTATGAGATAAAATTACGAAAATTTTAAATTAAAATGAATAATATCTTGGATATTAGATGCAGTCTCTATATAAATTTATTTGAAATCATTTATTAAGGATAGTTATATAAAACTACATAGCTACACTAACTAAATCAATTCCTTCTTTTCTTGGCCAATAAAAAAATTCCTTCTTTTCTCCTTTAAAAAGGAGATTGTTCACCCATAGTGAAATGTAATGCCAGCTTTGGTTTGACAAGGTCAAAATTTTCCGGTGCTTTGTTAGTGTCATCCTTTCCTTTATCATTAACTTTTCATCAAAAACAAGAAGAACCTTTAAATGAAGAATGAGATCCTTTTTTTTTTTTTCTTTTTGTGATAAATATCATATTACTCCAAAGAAATTATGGAAGCTGATGTAATTTGGTAATTAAACTTCATCATTTAAATGAATCATTTTTTTTTATTCTTAACTAAGATATTGTTTCTTAATCTCTCTAGACATTGATGATTGGTTTTTTTTAGGTGGTCTTTGATTGCTGCACAATTACCCGGACGAACTGACAATGAGATTAAGAATTACTGGAACTCCCATTTAAGCCGAAAAATTTACAGTTTCACCAAGACAATAAAAGAAAACAAACCAAGTGACATTAATGTTGTAACAACAGCAGGAGAGGGCATGCCAAGAAGGGGTAGAACCAGCCGATCAGCCATGAAAAGACACAAGTTAGCATTGATGTCACTAGGTATTCCTAAGACTGCTAACCCAAATGAGGCGTTTGATGATCACGCAGCCCCAGAAAGTAATCCTGCAGGGGGAGAAACCCAGAACAGAAAAGAGTTGACATATTTGCAACTTGATAACGAGGGTAGAAGAAACCTTGGAATGCATGGCTCTTGCATCCACAGCAATGCGATGCCAGCAAGCAATTATGACGATCAGAGGCAAAGCACAGGAATAGCATTAAGTTCGGGTGAAGAAAGCTCTAGAATTGCAGTTGAAATTTACGGCTGCAGCGAGGGAGAAACTGATCAGGTACTGGGACCATATGAGTGGCTAGACAATGAAATAAATCGTCTTAGCAGTATTCTGCAAAGTGATCAAGGTGTGGATCCAAGTGGGAACCGTGCAGGCTTGACAACCACAAATGGAGAAAATGGGGTCAGGGTTATTATAACTGATCAGGACAGGGTTAATGGTGTCCAAAATGGCGCTGAAAATGATGATCAAGAAAGAGAAAGCTATGGCATCTGGAACTCAAATGCAAATATTCCTGATGAGAAATGGCAGATGTGTAACTCTTCATCACCAGGGAATTCAGGGTTTGATGATCAGGAATGGCTTCATTGGGAATATTCTGCTGGTGATGATCAATGGGAATTATGGGATGATTCAGACAAGGTGCTTTGTTGGTTACGGGATAGTAGCAATGCTGATGAAGCTGGAAACACACCAAATTAATTAATTAATACTGCGGGCACTAATATTAAAAGATTGGTTTTGCTCAACATATTTCAAGATGATCTCTTTCCTTTTCTCTTCTTTTTTTTTTCCCTATTCTAAGAAAGTTAAATTAACGTATATATAAAAATAATAAATGTGCAAATTCTTTTCCAGCATGAAAAAATTTGTACTTCTATATCAATGTAAACACTTTTAACGTTCTAAATACTAATTTGTTATGAATTTTATGAATTTTTTTTTATTTATTTTTACGAAATTACATGTACAAAATGAATTATAATCATATTCAAATATCACATATAAAAATCAACAAATGATATCAGTACACAAATTAACTAACAAATCAACATATAATTGAGTAATCGAACAAAAAATGGATTAAATTCACATAATTTAAATTTGAAGCTTCAAAATTTCACGCTTTTTTTTTTACAATTAAAATAGATGCGACGATTTATGTATTCATGTCATATAAAATATTAAAATTTATGTATTCGTATTGTGTTTTACACAAAAATTACATATTATAATTCGTATCAATACGAAAATATAAAATATAATTTTTTTAGTTTATTAAACTCATATATAATTATTGTTATAATTTTAAGTCGTGTCATATTTGTGTTTTATTTTCGTATCATATTTATGTCGTATTATCGTATCGTATTTTAAATTATCAGATTTACATAAAACGAAAATTTCATTGATTTTTTCTTTGTTTATATTAGATTCAGCTTTTTCGTAAGAATCGAAAAATTAGTTTCATACTTTGAATTCATACTTTTGAATTAAGCCAAAGTCTTCGACTCTTTTATAGTTTTCATTTTAAATTTTTGTCGATAATGCAATCTTATTTTCAATTACAACAAAATAATTTCATCATTAAAAAAAAATTTCATTAAAATTACCATATTAAATAATATTTTTTTAATGCATTGAAATTCATCTAATTGATAAATAATTAATATATTTATTATAAAAATATTACTATAAATATTAATTTACCTAACTTTAAAAAGCCAAAAAAAAAAGGATCATTTTCCATTTTTATTTTTTAGAGTTTTCTATACACATTTAATTTTTTTGGTACATTCTATAGACATTTAAATGTGTACATTGCACCTCCAAAAAGTGAATGAAAGTGACCAAATGCGTATTTTATAACAAAAGTCACATCCACAATTTATCAGCATTGCCCTTTTTTTTTTTTAATTAATTGGAGGGTTTGAGGAATGAATTTCTGAACACTAATTTTACAATAAAGTAAGTTTCAATTAAAATTGATGACACGTTTAGTCTATCACACATTTTCCAGCATTTTTCATTTCATTGTCAGTAGTGTAGTTATATAAAAATCATATATATATTTTTTATATTTAAGGTTATTATAATTTAAATCATTAAAATTAAAAATACATTATTCTACAAACAGACTACATGGTTATTATTGTAAATCATATTTGTGATACGAAAATTAATTATTAATAAATATAAGATAAGATGATCGATAAAATTAATCTTACAATTACATTTCTTAGAGCTGAAAAAAGTGGGGAAAAGTGTTTAGCTTACAAGTGGAGCATTTGTAGGCTAAAATTCAACTTCATTCACACATATATCTAACCCAAGTTCAATGTGACCTAATAAATTCGTTTCCACTACCAAAATCATGAAGCAAAATGAAGCAACTTGCTACTTTCTTTTCTATAATTGAATGCTTAATAATCATTTTATTTTGGCACCGCAATCTCTGTTAAGCAGCAGTGCGACCGTTGCCATGTCTCCATCATTCACTTTCTGCAAATTATGAACAGTCTACTCTAAATACTATATATCTATCATATATATATATATATATATATATGTATATGTATGTATGTATGTATGTATATGGTTACACCTACTTCAACTTTCATTAGCTAAATTTGCTTTCATTCCCCTTTTTTTTTTCTGGGTTTTTCTAGGTGGAGTTATGAGGGAAAGAAAAACATTTGGTCCAAAGTTAGGATGATTGCTTTGACATAAAGGAAGAAAATGGTGTCATGGTCCAAGAAAAACAGACCAAATTGTGGGAGTTCTGGAGATCATTTGCAGATGTGTCGTTCACAGGTACTGAATTCATGGTTTGAAGAAGAGTGGGTTGATTGGGATCTTAATGAAGCTGAAGTTTGTTTTCAGAGAAGTCATGATCAATGGGAATTATGGGATGATGCAGACAGGGTGTTGTGGTGGTTGGCCTGGTGGTGGCAATGGTGAAGCTGGACTAGAAGGAGAGGCTCTCATTAAATCCACAAAAACGGTAGGAAGTTGAAACCGTTAAAGTTGCTCAGCACATTTTATGGTGAGCAATTACAAATAAACTTTTATAGGCACTAGACAGTGGATTATCTTTTAAAACTTCGTATATATAGTAATAATTGTCATGGAAGTTTGAATTTGACTTTTTTTTTGCAAAATCAGAATTTGACACCAAATACATATGTAACTAAAGAATTTTACTAGTAATTTTTTGACAGTTAATATGATCTATTTTTGACAGTCAACTCAGCAACCAAAGCAATATTTGACCCTCATTATCCCCAATTACAAATGCTGCACCATCAACTTTAAAGCCCCAGCCATTTTCCATGTGCTTGTCCACAAGCTCATCTCCACTGACAAAGCTGAAGGCATTTAAAATGGCAAGATTTCAGCAACCACCTCATCAAGCAAAGCATCCAGTATTTGACCCTCAACGTCTGCTCCAAGTACAAATGCATCAACTTCAAAGTCTAGCCATTTTCCATATTGACTGCTCATGTCATTGTCGACAAGCTCGTCCACCATACAACCTTCCATGCCTCTCCACCCTGATATCTCCTTGTACACTTGTTCAGCTAACCATTCATTTCTTCTCAGAATTGTCATCCCCTTCACCCAAGTTCTGCATCCCCCACCCGCATACCGCCTGCATCTCAAGTCTAAGCATTCACTGACTGAATCAAATAGTACCTTCCTTTCTATCCTAGAGTCCCCACCAGTGCTTCCAAATCCTCCTCTCCGGCTTTCCAACTGATCAAAAAGATGAGGATTTATAATTTCACAAGCACGGCCTATGGCAAAGTCCTTGAACATTAATTCCACATTACACAGTATCAGCGTCACATATTCTAGTTCCCAGTTGACAGATTTTGTGAGATCCGATATAACAGCAATATTTTGATTACTTTTAGCCACAGTTCCAGAAGATATAGAAGAAGCTGAATCTGATAACTCTGCATCAGCTTCTAGTAAGCGTAACTTCTTTAAAGAACTGAGGCCAAGAACTTCCTGAGGTTGAATGGATGAACATTGCTTGCTTCCTAAAATTGTATCAGAGATACAGATAGTATAGCTAAGAAAAACTTACAGCACAGATTTAATAACAAACATTAAGGATAAGCCACTAGCTGTACCTTCTATACTGAAACTATCAGTGCTATCTGAAGAGTTGCAGCTTTCAGTTGAAAAGGAAGGTTCAAGGATAGAAACTGGACTAGGTTGCCGAGCATCAAGATGGCTACTTTCCATCGCATCAACTTCCTGAATGTGTCATATTAGCATTAATTATCATTGTGTGAAATATTTTTGATGCATTTCATAGCAACACTTATGCTTGAGATTAAAGAATGGTTAACCATTAAAACCCCAAAAGGTGATATATTCAAGTGGCAGAGATACTACTATATAGCTAGAAGCACAATAAAGAAAGAAAACTAGAGTAGGTTTTTATTAGAAAATTGAAAAAACATGTCTTTTACCTGAAACTTGTGTTTCAATCCAAGCAGTCGAAGATCAGAGGAGGAAAGGTCAGAACTGTAACAACTATCCAGTTTATCATGTAACCTGGGCACTGTACTAACAGCATTAGGACTGTGGCCCAGATCTTGTGAAAATGATGTAGAAGTAGAAGCCGATCCAGAGTTGAGAGATTTCTGGCAGGAAGATTCGACTGCGTTACTTAATTCCCTAAGCTTTTGTTCCAAAAGCATACTTAAAGCGTCTCCTCTTATCACATTGTGTCCCAATGAAGACAACTTCACACTCTCGGTGTCAAGCAGCAAACTCTTACCTCGATTATCCATGCAAATACTGTTTTTTTTCTGTGCAATCTGAGCAGATGTTTCCATTGACCGAGCAAGTGGGGCTGTGAATGTGAAGGAGACAACATCCATGCCTTTCCTTTTGCTATCTTCAATCCAGCTGAAGTTCCTTTCAGTAATGGCACGGTCTTCCTTCCTATTTTTTTCAATCAACACATGATCAACAACGTGATTTTTCTCAAAATGAAAATCCCTATCAATGGATCTTTTCTTCCTTGGGTTCTTTGTACCAGAATATGGACCTCCTTTCTCACTATCTGTTGTACCTACGCCCAACTTCCTGGAGCCAGTTTTGGAATTCCCAAAAAGTTTACCTGATGTTTTGTGTCGCCCAGAATCCCCAGAGTGCATTTTTCTACTGTGCAAGTTGGAAACCACAGGCTTGGAAGGTAATTTCTCTTTATCCACTCTACAATTTTGCTTCTGATTGTTCTGCTTGAGTGCACCAGAAGCATTGTGCATAGAAGATTTCTTATGCAAACTCTTGTGAGCACTTGGTTGGCTCTTGAATGGTTGATTCAACTTAACCTCACCATGGTCTTTCTGCTCTAACAAACTTCGGCTGCTGCTTGAAGTCAATCCTTCTCGTTTCTGCACATTGACCTTTGCTTGGATTGCAAGTGAAATAGACTTCCCCTTACTCTTTAAAACAGAAGAAATTTCTTCTGTATCAGAAGTCCTGGGTGATGTTGTGTCTATTGACCCATTCCAGCTCTTGTTCAAAGAATGTCCCTTAAGATACTTGGAAGCATTAGACTCGATTGGCCTTGTAGTTGTTTCAGCAAGCCTGGATGTTTTATGTGCAGCTTCTGCTTTCTCTTTTAAATCTCTAACTTTCAAGGGCACAGAAGATCCAACCAGAGGCATTTTCTGTGCAGCATCCATTTTTTCTTTGAAATTGTGAACTTTCACTGGCACTGAGGACAAGCCAACCAGAGGCATTTTGGGTCTACTAATTGCCCGGGGGCCAGGACTGATAATTCTCGCAGCTGCTTCCATTATGTGAGCAGCATCCTTAGCAGGAATAAAACCAGGACTCTTGATAGGAGACAAAAGTTTATGGTGGGTAATTGGAATTGTTTTAGCTGCCTTAGGAGGCAAACTTTCAGTTTGGAATTTCTCTATAGGCTTGCTGGCTATCTTCTGAGGCTTTGACGCCACAAAGTTCCTAGCAGGACCCTCCATCTTATTGAACAGATCTCCAGAATAAACTATTTGCTGGTCATGATGATAATTAAGGTTTCTATTTCGGAAATGAGAATCTCGAAGAGATTGAGTGTCCAAAAAAGGCGTGGAGTAGGGCTCAGAAGATGTAGGTAAGGAATCTAATCCCATCAGCCGGGCCACTACACTAGGGGCCGTAGCTCCATACATATCATCATCTGTAACTGAGGAAGAACAACTATAATCACTACTTCCTTTGATGCTTGTCCTTGCTCCAATTTCCTCCTCGTCAGTCTGCAATAATCACAAAAATAATCAGATTAAATCACCACTGCCAAGGCTGTTATAAGATCAACCCAGAAATCATCTGGGATTTGCCTTGTTCTCACCAGATGGAGTTGTGTCATTGGTAAGTTTCCATCACTCCTCTTTCCCTGTTTCGAATGCTCTAAAAGTTTGAAGAAATAAAACCCATTAGCAACTACAAAAATATATAAACTATATTGGTAAAAGAATATATTTGTACTTGCATACGCATGTTTGTGCATGCTGAGATACATTGCATGCTCATCGGCACAGGGAAGACAGTTATACCTAGAAAATCTGACTTGCTTGAGAATAACTTCTTCCGAGATCTTGCAGTCCAGTCAAATAGTTGAAAAAATCCACCTACATAACCTCCACCATTCTTTGAACCTTCTTTGTCAACCCCCATTGTATGAAAGCAGAACCAGGACTGCTCAACTCATATAAGCAAATGATACAAGAGAAATAAACTCCATTCCATCAACCAAATCCATCTGTAGATGTTATTAAACACAATATACAGTTCAGTACCAAGTAAATTGAATTTATTACCCAATCAAAATCTAGATATTATAAACTCCTACAAGATTCTAAACCATTCTAAAATGTTAAGTTTGTGAGATAACTCCTCTTACTAAGATCTCCCCTATTCAAAGAAGTGCCAAGCTCTCTATGTACTTTCCGTCAATATTTTATTTGATGAAATGGAAGATCTGATGTCTATCTGGATCCCCCTAGAAGGGAAGTCGGAAGACTATTAATGGAGGTGAACTACCTCCTCCTTAGCATGAATTTAAGATCTCTAAAAACGCAACAAGTTAACATGGCCACATGTAGTATCTCTATCTTCATTTCACATTACACTTAAATACACATTGCAGAACCGCAAACAGCAAAAATTTGTCAAACAAACGGGACAGTAGAAGAACACAAAATGAACACATAAACCACCTATTCTCCTGCTACCAATGTCACCGTCTTAGATTTATATCACAATGCACTCAATCTTAATTATTATAACTATGATGTTCTTACAATTTCCAGGTGAGAAGCAACTTACAATGTCAAACTCAGCAATATCAATATCTCTACATGTGCCTCTACATCTTTGCTTATACTTTACCTTGATAGCCTTGCTATCGAAAAAGCAAAGATCATACCATCTAGCATTTGTCATTGACCTCAACTTCAACAGCTGAAGTTTCTATGATAGAAATGGATATTAAAAAAAACTTGCAGAAACTAATTGCGCTGACTCATTTTACTTAACTAAACACCTCAGATCCAAATTCTAACCCAATTTGCAAATCAAATACTCTTCAGCTCCATTTACAAACACTAAAAAACTATTATACTAGAAATAAAAGGAAGTCTGGAAAGAGAGAGATTGCTCCTATAATATACCAAGCAATTCAATTTCATTGACCCTGCATGAAGAACACTATATTCAAATTTCTTATGTTACACTCCTTTCCCAGATTTTCTCAGGCACAAAACAAACCCCACGTGAACAATGCAAAAAGGAAATAAAAAAAAACACCATAAATCGATTCTGTGCCAAGTTGCTAACCAACAAACAAACAACCTTAAACCAAGCAAAACCAAGAACACAAACATCAACAAGTTAGTGACTTTGTAAGAAAACCAGTTGCCACACCCCAAAACAAAAACCCAAAACTTTAAACCAAAGATAAAACACTTACATTGAAACCAATGAATGGGATCAGCTTACATGCAGCTAAATTTTTCTGGGTTCAGATTAAAAATAGAGAAAAGACTAAGCTTTGCAATGGGTTAAGCTTAAATTTGAGATTTTTGAGAGAAACAAAAGTGAAAGGCTCCTCCTTTTAAGTGTGAGAGAGGGACAGAGAGATGGAGAAAGAGAGAGAGAGTGTTGTAGTTCAAAGCAATAAATGGACACAGAGTAAATAGCATGGGATTTTGGTGTTTTTTTAAAAAATAATAATAAAAATGTCTTTTTAAAATAAAAAATGATTTTAAGTTATTATTAAAAGGAGGTAAAATTAAAAAGCATATAACGTCTCTTTGTAGAGGATCGAGGTTTCAAATTCCAAACGGAGACTTTCAAGTGGTCGACTCATTGGGCTTCTTATAAACTTACAAATGAGTTTTAATTAGTTTGTGTACTACTTGACGGAATGGTGTACACGTGTCCAAAAGTCCTTTTTTTTTCAAAGTTAAGGGGAGCATGGTAAATCGAGTGTCTTATTAATCAAATATCTTACGGCGATTATAACAGTTTGGATCTAATTTTTTTAGATAATAGGATATATAAATTACAAAGTTTTAAATTTGATTTGAAATTGAATCAAACTTTTATATAATTTAATCAAAATTAAATTTTTATCGATTTGGTTTATTAGTTTTTAATTTTTTAATTTTTGTTTTTTATATTATTTTAATGTAATTTTTAATATATTTTAATAAATTTAAATATAAAATAATTATTTTATTTTATAAAAATTTAAAATATATATAAACTAACAAAAATATATAATTGGATTTAATTTTTTTTATTTTTACTTTTTAATCTAAAATTTGATCTGTATATATTTAATATTTAAATTTAATTTAAATTAAATTTAAAAAATAAATTAAATTAAATTGGAAGTTGCAAACTTTATCAAATAAAGTCATTCTTTTAACGATAGAAGACAGGTTGCATGTGGAAAAGAAACACTAAGAAACAACAATGTAAGTCATTTCCAGCAAAAGCAATGGAGATAAGTTGTAATTAAAAGGGAATAAAAGTGTTACTATGTCTTCATGTTTCAATGTTCAAGCACGATAAAATTTATTTCAAGCTGTACAACTACTGCTACTGCCAAGTAGCCATGTTCAATAATTTTAAGTGGGCCAAGTTTGATCAGCTATGGAGATTCTCATTTAAACTGGGCCAATTGTTCATAAAAATTTGTTAAAACTTTTCAATTTAAATTTATAAATAATTTTATATTAAAACTTTAAAACTAAATTAAAATTCATACGAGCCGGATTCAAACTTAAAATTTTTTGTCCAGGACATATGAAAACAATTCGAACTGCCATCTTATATATTTGTAATTTGTGGGTGATGATTCACAAAAAAAAGTTGTCAGATATCTTCAACGACCAGTTCCTCAACTATAACTCCACTAAATAAATATTGGATTTTGCTAAATTATTCTCATGTTTAATTAATACAACTTCTGCATTCAATTCACAAACAGAGCATCACAAGATGGATCAGGGTAAGGTTCTAAACCAAGTTGCATGCCTGTTTTGCCTGGAATAATAGAACATCTGAATCAATTATCTTGGAGCAAAATTTGTAAAATTCCATTCGTTTTTTCCCTATTCAACCTGCCTGGAAATGTCAGCCCAATGTTGGTTTAAACTTTTCATAAAAGACAATGTCAGCATAAACTACTACATATAAGCGTTCTTGTTGCACAAATGTACAGCAAAAATTATCACCATGTAATCTTTATCTTTCACATTTCAATCTCTCCAAGGGTTTTCAGCTTTTTCATTCCAACAAATAGAACAATAAATATGAAGAAAAACGGCCCTGGAACTATCCCAAAGAAATAAAACATGAACTCTAATTTCATGGATGGCAGTCATTTTGGAACAATATTAATTCCCCCATTTTTTCCAACCAAAGCAACCTAGTAGCCATGAACATACTCGCAATACTTGTTCTTCATCCAACGAAACCCGTTCATTAACGAAGATTTTAGCTTGCTTTCAACAGCGTAGGACTTGTACTTCACCACACGACGTTGCCTCTTCAATTCAGGGTCGCCAGCAGCACCCCATGTTACATTGGAATTATTATAATTATAATAACTCCTATTATATTTGTCCATATCATTGTTTGTCAATGGACGAATAGGCTGAGGAGGAGGATCCGGTGGTGCCGTATTGCAATAAGATGATGGTGGATTCCGTGAACAACTATTATTATTACCTTTCATTTCGACCTTCCATTCACCACCAAACGTCCGGTTTGCTGCCTTGAATTCTTCCATCTCTCTCGCAATGTCTGCCATTTTTGTCTAAATTGGCAGAGATAGAAAAAAAAATGGCAGATATTTAGAGAGAAAGATCAGAAAAAAGAGAAGATTTTCTAGCTATAGATATACAATTGTGTCCACAAAAATGATGGTTTTTATGGAGATGAGGAGAGAGGACAACCTGGTTTTATTTTTTCTGAGGTCATTAAATTGGATACTACCAAATATTTTAGTGTTATTGAATCGTATTTTGCATTTTGGTTGGTGCCAGAAACATTTCGTTTCCTAGTATCATATTCCCTAATATTAGACCTTTGAAACTTTGAAGACTGTTAGACTTGATTGGATGACCTTGAATTTCTCCCTGTTTTCTGCTGCTGTTCAAGTGAGTGTGCTGTCCTTTACCAATTTTAGGGTGGCAATCTATTGACAGTATCATGTGTTACAAGTCTCATGTGTAAAAGTCAAGAATTGAAAGATTCAAGCTTAATATCTATAGCCCACTGAGTTTCTAAAATCATATCATGAATGAAAATATTGAAGCAAGACCTCATTCTTGTCAATTTTAACTGATTAGCTTTGTACCATCTCTCTCATGGTGAGGTTAAATTAAACGTCAATTGATCAATTTTTACAAGGAAAAAAAACCATTTCTAGATTTTCATCTTTTTTTCTTTCAGAAATGTTTCCATGTTTGGAGGCTTGGATTCTGTACTTTTCAACTGTATTTCTGTTAGTTGAGCTACCCCTCGGTGTTAAGGGCATTGTTCAACCCCCAAGAAAAGAAAAAGAGGTTTGAAATCCTCGCTCGAGGAGCACGAGAGCAGTTGCCAGATAATTAACCAATTAATTGGAATTGTAAGGAAGGAAATTAACAGCCAAGATCAATCCCCCCATGGAGACAAAGTCAAAAATTGGACTTTTTTTTTTTTTTTTGCTTTTAACAGACTCTAACCGGAACTAGAATTCGAGGTCAGGATATTATGTTCTCCTGAGACCAGTGGCTCATCTTGAGGTAGTAGTGGCTGGTGCTAGCCGCAAATGAAGATCAATGTTATCTTCTTCATTTACTTCTGTAGCTACCGATGAATCCGATGTTGAGCCCACGCCAACCTCAGTTTGTACTTGAAAAGGTCCCTGACCCTGTTGCGCCAGCCCGCCAACATGAAAGGGACAAGAACCCTTTAGAGGTAGCATTGGCAAAGATGGTGCTGAAAGACCTCTGGCAGTCATGCTTGTGGACCCTCTGTCATAAATCAACCGCCTTGATCGAGCTGAATGCGCCTTGATAAGCGGTCCAGTAGTCACGAACCGCTGTCGTTGATGAACACTAAAAAACGAGGCTTGTGTAGCTCGTCGTTCTCTTTTGTGCGCATTCTGATGGCCACCTAAAGCTTGAGAATTGGCAAACCCTCTGTGACAAAATTGGCACTCAAATCTCTTGTAATCAGTACCATTATGTGGAACAATTACAGGCACCTTGTCATAACCAGCAGCAACAGGAAAACCGAAAAGCTTCAGTGTTGAAGATTGTTTTCTTCCAGGCTCATCACCGCCATTGTTTTCTGGTGCACTACTCATGCTAATTCATTAACACCAGGAAAGGGCTGCTCGCTGATGTACTAATTTTTTGGCAGATCCATAGAAATATATAGAAAGATCATCTGCCATGCAGACTGACGCAAATACCCTTCAAAAAAAAGTTCAAAATCAGAAAGTGACAACCATATCCAAAACTACAGGCACAGTTGTTCAGTTTCCTGTGAATGTACCCTTTTATGAATTCCTTGGATAGAAGACAATCACTCGTGCGAAACCGGAGACATGTCAGTAAAGAAAGTCACAAGGTTTCAGCGTGTGCATCATGTCCTTTCAACATTCCATGGTCTGTTGTGTTTGTTAACATTAAAAAAAAGATAGACTAACACACCCTTAAAGTCGTAAAAAAAAATTAAATCCAAACAAAATCTGAAATATCCGTGATTACATTATAGAAGAATTTTACAAAAAGCATGCAATTGCTGACAATTTGCTTCGTTAATTTGCCTGAAGAAAGCAATGGACTATAATTTCTATAATAACAAGGGCAGGCAACATTATACATTGTTAAAACAAGAAATGATCGCAGGTTGATGATTCTTGGTAGCGGTCGGCCACTGAGATGCACCCCAGGATACTTCTGCATGCTTTGTTGAGCTTGAGATAATAGCAGTGTCAGCCACAATCGGACCTCATTTGACTTCACAACTACCATATGCCTTGTGAACTACAACAACCATCGAAAGTGTCCGAGAAAAATCTCTCCAAAGATTTATAATATAATTCAAAAGCTATATCCTAGCCTATAATCTTAAACCTTCTCTTTCAATCTCACCATCTCCCATCAAACAAAATATTACATATATATATTTATTTATTTATACAGAAAACTCTTGAAAAATTACCATGCTAATTTCTTAGAGATGATTTGGTATAGCACAAAAAAAATCCTTTAATCGCATTGAAATGTCGTTTTGGCAATAAACCAATATTTAAAGTCGAAATAATTAATTCTTTTGGCCGGCTTGATTATTAGATACTCACTTCCTGAAACTGGCCCCCATAGAGCACCAAGAAGAAAATGTGCAGTCTATATAGCAATGTGCAGTCACGACCCCTCCATCTTGAATTATATATATATGATCCAAAGCATGCTTACAAATAACATATAGTACTGTAGTTTCCTATATGAGACCAAGATCATGTCAATAATGCTACTAAATCCTCACTGTCTAGGCGTCTGGTAGTCCAACCAATTCCAATAATTTGGAAAGCTTTAATCTATCAAGTGCTTGTGCATATTGGCCCAGTAAGCTTGGATTATTACAGGCACATTTTTTTCTTACGGGACAGGATGGAACAGTCTAAGAGATTAGTGTATGTTGTCTAGCTTAATCAGGACGAAAACATACCCAAAAAGTGGATGGATTTAGGATTGATTTTGATAGGTGATAAGATTTATTTCAGTAAAATTAAAAATTATTATTATTATTATTATTAAAAAAAATTTAAAAATTATTATTTAAATTTAATTAACGATGCAAGAAATTCAATTATATCACACTAAAAGTACAGACAAATCCAAACCTCCGTAAAAATGGATAAAAGAGATCCATCGAGCTCGTGCGAGAGTGCCATTGGATGATCGGGTAAGAAAGCATGGTCAGGATTAAGGGTGTAAATGATACATTAGTACTCGTAAATTATTCGGGTTCGATTCGAAAAAAATTCGAATTCGGTTCGATTATTGTCGAGTCGAGCTCGAGCTCGAGTAGCTCGACTTATCGATCGAGCCGAATTCGAATATTCTTATATCTGACTCGAGTAACTCGCGAGCCTAATCGAACTTTTATATTTAAATATATTTTTATTTTTTTAATTAATAAAATATTTCGAATCCGAGTTCGAGTTCGAGTTCGAGCATGAATAATCGAACTCTTGTCGAGTATACGAATTGAGCTTATTTTTACATATTAATCGAACTTAATCGAGCGAGCTCGAGTAGCTCGAATTCGATCACGAATCGAACTCGAACTTAAAAAATAAAACTCGATCGAACTCGAATCGAATATCGAACCCCGAATTGTGAGTCGAACCCGAGCTTGGACTCGAGCTTCTCACTACTCAATTCGGCTCGACTCGTTTACAGCCCTAATCAAGACTAGAGATTTGTTATTTTGCGTTTTTTTTTTTTTTTTTTGAGTCAAAGGCACAAATTCCGAAATGTCAAGTTAAATCATTCAAGTTTTTTGAAAAAAATTATATAACTAAACTAATACATTCAATTTTCAATTATTATTATAATTTTGTTGCTATCTAGATAACTTTTCTAGAAAGATTTAGTTACAATTGGATGACTATCATGCTCAAATTTAAATTATTTGTTATGTTAAAATCGACATTCTAACTTATTTAGTAAAGTTCACAAAACTGCATGAACTTCTTGAAATTTAAAACATCAACTAATTATTGTTCCAATACTTTTGGATTGAATAAATTATATGTAAAATTTAGTATCACGATCAATTTGAAGATTAATTCAAATGATTCATTCATATTTTTAAGAAGTGAATTTTCATAAAATAAAATTACACTTATCAACTACTTGTAATTTTTTTTTTTTAATACTCAAAATGATCATAATTTGAATCTTAATCATCTCAGAAATTGATGAAAATTTTAATACTCTTAATCTTCCAATATATTAATAAATTTTTTAATCTGTCTCTATTTGCGGACTCATTTTGTTTTGAATATAAGCATTATAACATTTAGGAGTACTATAAAATTATGTTCACTCTGAAAGTATGCAAACACTAGTCAATCACTACCAAACGTGAAAATGTGGCCCCTAATTTGCTCATTTCTGTCATGCAAAAGCTTAGGCATACTCCAATGTTTATGTTTTGTTTTTATTATTGTGAGGTCAACCAAATAATACATCCTCTTTTGTCCACCTCATCTTTTCTTCCCCTTTCATTTATCATTAGTAGTGATTTAATAGTAATTTACATTCAATATAACTACTCTTATCAGTTATAATTTTTACAAAACTTTCTTAACATTTGAAATTTTTTTGGGGGTAATTTTAAAATATACCTTTTCATATTGATCAAATGCATTCAAAATTTTATTCTCGAATTGTTTTTCATAAAAATTAAACCCGAATTGACAATAAAGAAAGTCCTCTTATATCAACTAAATTAAGTAATATTAAAGATATGCGGATTATCTTTTTATCACTTAATATGTTATTGAAATTGATACTTTTGAATGTTATAAATTCAAAAAAGCTTATACCTATAATATTTTTTTTAGTCAGGTAAGTAATAAGGTCGGATGAGTTTAAGGATAAATTAAGAATTTAAAATATATATATTATTAAATGTTTATTGCTAGTGGTTTTTTTTTTTTTTTTTGGGTTTTGCACAACAAAATGGACAAGGCCTTCATTGGCCCACTAAAAATTCAAGATCAGGCCATTTTTTTCAATTCAAGACCCATTTTACTTGGGCAAATTTCGGTTAACCAATAAACCAAGGCCACGAGCCTATGGCACAAGCCTTAGAAAATCAGGGTTCGCTCTAACGTATGCCGGCGGGCGAAGGATAAGGCAAACCTGCCGCAAACGGCCAAACAGTGGGCCGAACAATTCACAAGCAACACGACTTTCCCGTGAGAACCGTTGGGAGTCCACGCTCCTCCATCGCGCGTAACTATCTACCCAGAAAAACTATGCCCCCATAAATCCCGGTCTCGATATGGACCCCACCAAAACCAATCAAACCACCATTGCATTTAGATCCAACGGCTAACAATAACATGCGCGCACGATAATATCGGGTACCACCCTGACGGCGCATGGTAGCCGATCTCCCCTGTGAAGAGTTATCGTTCTCGAGAGGATGCGCTCTGCTCACCCCTCCTCAACCTCCCCGCCAGTTTCATCTTTCTCTATCTTTTCTTTTAACTTTTATCCTTTTTTAATTTCAGTTTCAGTTCGTTATTGACCGTTGTAAAAAACGTAACTTTTTTTCCATCAAAAATATTCCAGGTAGTTTATTTTTCAGCTGTTTTATTCAAGATTTGTTTTTTTAATTGATTAATGATTTGGGTTATTTTTTAGAGGGATTCAAATGGCTAAGAGACCAAGATTGCATTGAGAAATTTAGCTCTCAAGTAAGTTCTTTTTGCTCCAATTCAACCTTTAATCTTTCCCTTTGCTTTGGGTTTTTGATTGTTTTGATCAAGCTTAGTTTTTTGCTTGATTTAGATCAAAATTTGCTGGATTTGTGGAATACATAGTGGAATGCTAAGTACCCTTTAATCTGAAATGTTATTTTACACATTGGGTTAATGGAAGAAGTAGGTTTATTAATTTTTAAGTGTTCAATTATTAGTTATTAATGGATATTATGAGGATATGAAGTATTGAAAGAGATGAATGCTAGTTTGTTTACTTGATCGAATGTGGTTCCTTGGAAGCCAGGGAAAATTATGGTCTTGTTATTAGTAGCATTTTGAATTCATAGTATTACTTCTTCTGTGTCTGCAAATTTTGTTTGACTATTAATTGTTGTCTATAGGTTGTGTGTAACTGCAATTTCGATTATCTATTGCATAAAGAATGTCAGAAGGAACAAGTATGGTGATGGAATCTTCTGAAAATGGCACGGATTTATCTCAGGATGATACTGGAACTATGGTGGAAATGGCTGAGGACTCGATATTGTCACAACAAACTTCTGTGAATCTTGTTCCATTTATTGGCCAAAGATTCGTATCACAGGATGCTGCTTATGAATTCTATTGCAGTTTTGCCAAACAATGTGGTTTCTCAATCAGACGCCATCGAACTCGAGGGAAAGATGGGGTTGGTAGAGGAGTCACAAGGAGGGATTTTACTTGCCATCGAGGTGGATATCCACAGACGAAACTATCTGAAGATGGGAAGATGCAAAGGAATCGCATATCATTGCGTTGTGGTTGTCAAGCATATATGCGCATTGTCAAGCGGGCAGATTTTGATGTCCCTGAATGGCGTGTTACTGGCTTTAGCAACATCCACAACCATGAACTCTTAAAAGAAAATGAGTTGCACCTTCTTCCTGCCTACTGCACCATTACTCCAGATGACAAAGCTCGGATTTGCATGTTTGCAAAAGCTGGAATGTCAGTGAGACAAATGTTAAGATTGATGGAGCTAGAGAAAGGAGTTAAGTTAGGTTGTTTACCATTTACAGAGATAGATGTGAGAAACCTGCTACAGTCTTTCAGAAATGTCAATCGTGATTATGATCCCATTGATCTTATTGCAATGTGCAAAAAACTGAAAGATGAAAATCCTAACTTTCAATATGATTTCAAATTAGATGGCCATAACAGGCTGGAGCATATTGCATGGACTTATGCTTCATCTGTACGGCTATACGAGACATTTGGAGATGCTGTGGTTTTTGATACAACACACCGTATGGATTGTTATGACATGTTATTAGGTATTTGGGTTGGAGTAGACAATCATGGAATGACCTCTTTTTTTGGTTGCTTGCTTTTACGGGATGAAAACATGCAATCTTTTTCTTGGGGATTGAAGGTAAGAAACCTATAAGCATACTTTTGATAGAACTAAAGTTGTCTGCACAAACATTTAACCTCTCAATCACTCGGACTAGGGATCTACAATTTTCCATTTTGATGGAGCCCCTGCCCTGAACTTTGCACAATTTGACTTCACTTTCGAATTCATATCTGACTTTTGAATGCATTCAAAGTAAACTTTATGGGATATAAAAGTGCAATTGGAGTAAGTTAATTGCAAAGTTACAAAACAGTAGGGATTATTGGGTTTAAAGGTGCTATTGATGTATGTTTTGTTCTTTAAGTGTCTAGCCTTCTGCCTCTCATAATGTCCTTGTATTGTTCATACTTTTTTTTATCTTCTAAATGCATGTTCTTTCTAATTCTTCTTGTTCCTGATATTTATGCAGACATTTCTGGGCTTCATGAAAGGAAAGGCTCCACAAACCCTACTAACTGACCAAAATATGTGGCTTAAAGGGGCCATTGCTCTCGAAATGCCGGAAACCAAGCATGCTTTTTGCATCTGGCACATAATTTCAAAGTTCTCAGATTGGTTCTCTGTTCTGCTTGGGTCACGATATGATGATTGGAAATCTGATTTTTATCGGATTTATAGTCTGGAATTATTAGAAGATTTTGAAGAAGAATGGAGGGAAATGGTTGATAAATATATACTCCATGATAATAAGCACATCATCAGCTTATATGCATTGAGGACTTTTTGGGCTTTGCCATTCTTGAGGCCTTACTTCTTTGCAGGTTTGGCGAATTCATGTCAATCAGAGATTATTAATGCTTTCATCCAGAAGATTTTGAGTGCACAATCCCAACTAGATCAATTTGTGGAGCAGGTGAGCAAATTTTGATTTGTTCCTTTCCTCTTGAATAATCAGTTGATATAGATTTCACTAAACCTAATCATAATTGAACATTTGTCTTTCTCAGGTGGCTGAGATTGTTGAATTCAATGACCGGGCTGGTTCTAAGCAAAAGATGCAAAGAAAACTGCAGAAAATCTGCCTCAAAACCGGCTCACCTATTGAATCTCATGCAGCTACTGTTCTTACACCTTATGCCTTTGGTAAGCTCCAAGAAGAGCTTTTATTGGCCCCGCAATATGCATCCTTTCTGGTAGATGAAGGTTGCTTCCAGGTCAAGCACCATACCCAGATGGAGGGAGGTTGCAAAGTTATTTGGATTCCGTGTGAAGAGCACATTAGTTGTAGTTGCCATCATTTTGAGTTTTCAGGCATCCTTTGCAGACATGTTCTTCGTGTCCTTTCAAGTAATAACTGTTTCCACATCCCGGACCAATATCTGCCCAGCCGTTGGCGCATTAATAGCTCATCTTCCCCAAAACCATTAAGGAATGCAATGAGAGAGCATTCTGAAAAGATTCAGTTGTTAGAGTCCATGGCTTCAACACTCGTAGCAGAATCAATTGAAACAGAGGAACGCCTTGATGTTGCTTGTGAGCAAACTGCCATGGTTCTATCTCGCATCAAGGACCTTCCTAGGCCAACACATAGTGCAAATGATATTGTCTACAATTGTCCATCCGATTTGATTCTACCGGAGGTAGAAGATGCTGATGGAATTGTTCAGAGCTTAACAATTGGTACTTCTCATGAACCTCTCTCTTCAGGAAAGCTGAAGGAGAGAAGGCCAAGAGATGGGATTGATATTACTCGAAAGCGAAGACATTTTTCTGGCTCTTGCTGTGGGCAGTTTGGACATGATTCATCAGATTGTCCAATGATGGGAGGGGACAATTTGAATGGAGATGCATTAGGATATTTGTAGGCTAATCTCTAGAAGCCCATAGTAAGTTTACAAAAGAAAATGTTTGGTGTTAGTTAGCTACTGTGATGCCCTTCCTTCTTCCTTCCAAAATTCATCCACACAAAAGGATTTGCTTTGACTCCCTACTCCTAAAAATCATCAATGACAATCTAAATTTATTTGTATGTCCATCGGCATCAGCTTTGTGATTTGTTAACAGAATGCTAAAATTAGTTCAGATGCAACTAGGGATGCAACTGTCGGGCAGGATGGGTTTATACTCGTCTCGATTTTAATCCGACTCCTTAATAATTTTACCAATATCATTTTGATTTAATATCGAATTATTATTTATATACCCAACTCGATACATATATGTATAATTGTCGATGCATGATAACTTGAACTATATAAAATAATATTTCTATATTCTCAAAAGGTAAAAAAAATCCCATATGTCCATATGTAAAGATCTATCTTTGAACGTCTGGTTTTATTATGTTTTAATTAATTTTATTTTTCTTTGACTCTTTGGTGTTGGATCACAAAGAACGACTTTTACAAATATAAACTTAACTGTTTAAGTATGAATAGAAACTGTATATAAAGGTGTTTATGGAAAAAGATGAATAAATATATTTATATCTAATAGAACTCATATTTTTCAAATAAACCAGATAAGCCTAAAATGCACCGCTGCTAACCGACATGAAATATTCTTGAGTCCATTCTTTCATTTGTTCTTTTGGATAGCGCTTTAAAGTTCATTGGTTTCTACTTGTTCTAAAGTTGCCCGTCTCAACAATTATAACTTTAGGCACCTTCAAACTCTAATGTCTTCCTTGGTCAACATTAGTAGGCCAAAACTGTTTAGTTTTATTATGATACTATGAACTCGTGTATATTGCAGATGCCTTATTATTTGTCTATTTGTATTTGGTTCATTGTAACAAAAATAAGGTTCTACATTGATAACCTGCCCTGTTATGGTAACTCTCGTGATCAATTAAAGGTTGTTTGTTCGAGAATTCGATCCCTGAACATCCAATTGGTTGAATGGAGGCAATGAGTATTGGGATATGGATGCTGGTTTTCATGGTTCAAAGAGGGTGATTCGATAAAAGGTTGAAGTGTCCACTAAACTCCCAAGCTTGATGTGATGAAGGAGATGCAGCAGCACATGATGAGTACAATCATAAGAATTGGTAGGTCAGGTAAATCATGGGTCTAAGATGTGACCTCCAAAGTCCAAACAAAATCCTCTGCTTTTTGCAGCAGGAAAGCAGTTCCCTCAAATTTTATACGTTTGAACGTAACTAAATTAAACAGAGCTAAGAAAAAAATGCCCTTTGAGCCAAGGGTGAAGGAATGTGAGGACCAGAAATTCACTTTGAGCCAAAGTTGAAAACTGAACAGTTTACACGTGTCTTATGAGAAAGCTGTTTGTGGCCTGTGGTGAGGCTGTGACTTTTATCTTTAATACATGCAGAATAAGGTTTTTAAAGCCAAATTTTAGAACCGACAATCTTCCTTGTGTGAATACTTGACAGTAAAGCCCAGAACCTTGGAATCTTTGGCCTTTAAGCAACCTTTACTGCAAGCAATTCTATAATTCTTTCACTTTTTTGTCATGCAAACCATTTAATCCAATGTAGTCTTCTTCCGACACCCTGCATGAATTATCTTTGTTTTAGACTCCAAAAATGCCAAAAACAGTGGCTATCACACACTCTGATCTTGCACCAAGTCGTCGAAGCACTGAATTGGGTAGCAGAACTGGTGTTGTTCTCATGGTTTTAACCATTATCTGTGGCCTGTTCTGTTTCACCCTTTGCCTCATAGCAGAAGCCACTCGTTCTCAGGTACTTTCCAGGGTTTTCCTTTTTCCTAGACCTCAATTCAGATTACAACCTTAATCATATTTCTGATACATGTAAATTGTCTTCCAGGAAAGGCGGGTGGACACTGAAGATAATGGAAAGGAAGTGAAATATGAATGTTTTTACAGCGGTAGTGGCAAGACACCATTGTTGTGTTCTGCTGTGGCATTTGTGGGGCTAGCTGTTGCCATGGTGGTTGAACATATGTACATGTTGATTGCAGTCAGTAAATCACCACCGCCAGCTTTGGTGTCTTGGGACCCTGACTCCACTCATGCCAAGACTCTTACCTGGCAGGCAGGATTTTTCTTTGTCACGACCTGGTAAGACATCTGACATCTGACATCTGATCTGATCTGATCTGAATAGAATTTCCTTTTCAATCTTCACCCTATCTTGTCGAGGGAAATGATCCCATGTCCTTAATAATTATGGCTTATAAACTAGGACCTATACTCTTTTTACCAAAGATAAAACCTGATAAAATTGTGAGGTAGCCGTCAGCCCCCAAAGTGGACAATGCTTCGCAGTTGTAATCCAACAATTATTGCATCAATAGATCGCATTCCAAAAACTGTTCTGCATCTCAACATTCTTGGCTTGCCTGGCATCTTAATTGCATCACAAGTCATTTTCCTGCCTTTTCCAGGATGATTCTCTACAATGCCTTGTGAATTATGATTACCCTTTTGATTATAATACTATTTTACTTACAAACATCTAGCAGAATCTGCTTTAACAACAAATAAAAGCAAAGCAGCTGCCTTTCATGGAACAAGTCTGATTAATTAATGTTACAAAAATATAGCCTTAAAGTTTTCATTGATTCTGTATAGGCTTTGCTTTGCTGTGGGAGAGATTTTGCTGTTGATTGGAATGAGTGTGGAATCAGGACATTTAAAAAACTGGTCAAAACCAAGAGAGGGCTGCCTCATCATCAGAGAAGGCTTGTTCTGTGCAGCTGGTGTGTTTTCATTGATGACAGTTTTCCTGGCTGCTGGCCTATACATAACAGCATTGCATGCACAAAAAATGTTCCAAGAAGAGCAAAATGTGCGGCAACAGGTCCTTGAGACTTCTGTCCTATATGCGTCCCCGCCTGGTTCACCGCCCCGTCGGATGACAACCATGGCCAGAGAGGATCCAGTGATCACAGAATTTCCAAACCAACTACCAACATGTTCATATTCATGGGATTTCAACAAGCAATCAAATGGTGTTTAGAGCAAAGCAAACAAATGCCCTGGGTGCCTGTGGCAAAGCTGAAGGCACAAGCTAGAGCTGCATTTGCTGTAGGTATTGTATCATTCAAAAAAGCGAAATTGTATTGTATCATTCGATTTTTGTAAATAACTTTTATTGCAGAAATTGAGTGCATTGATTCTATAGATCATTAAATTGATGCAAAGTTTAATGTCCTAAATCCTAATGGTTGAGTCAAATTGAAGAGATTTGGGTAATGGGACGAGGAAGAAATCAACTTGTTGTTGCTCAAAGCCCGAACTTGGATTGGGCTCTGGGGAGAAGCTTGGAGTTGGAGGATCAAAAGTGTATATGCTTACTAGATCTTTTCCTATGGGCCCATTAGTTCTTGCATTTTTCATGATTTCACCATCCAAAAAAATAAAAAACACTTGTCAATCTATTTGCTTGTGTTAAAACTAATTAACATTTGTCTGCATGTTTCAAATATTGATTATGGGTGAAAAAAATAAAAAAATTAAAAATCGGTTCAAAATCATAATATTTAATTCAATTTGAATTAATTTTTTATTTATTTAAATTAAATTTAAATATTAAATATATATTAAATTTTAATTGAATTTTAAATCGAAAGATAAAAAATTTGAAAAATAACAAATTAAATCTAATTATACATATTTTTAATTTTATATATCTTTTAAATTTTTATAAATAAAAATAATATTTTTATATCAAAAAGTTATTTGAAATTATTAAAAAAAAGGTTTAAGGATAAAATTTTTTAAATTTAAAATTGAGTTTTTTTCTTAGGCAGAAAATAATAAAATGAAATTAATAAATAATTAAATATAAATATCGCCCACAACGTCTCTCCTAAGCCCTCACTAATCCTCCGCTCCACCACCCTTTCCCTTAGGCCCTCGTTAATCATTAGCTACAGCGCTACTAAACTCTCTAGGGTTTTTCCTTTCTTTCGAGCATTGTCCTTTGCCTAGGATTTTCGAAGAAACTCAGCAGTTGAATATGTCGTTGAGGCCGAGCACGAGAACCGAGGTCCGCCGTAACCGTTACAAGGTGGCGGTTGACGCGGAGGAAGGTCGCCGTAGAAGAGAAGACAACATGGTGGAGATCCGAAAAAGCAAACGCGAAGAGAGTTTACAAAAGAAGCGCCGTGAAGGCCTTCAAGATCAAGACTTCGCCCCTTCTGTTCACTCTTCTAACGTCGAAAAAAAGGTAAATCACAAACGCCTAATTAAATCCTCAAATTTATCCCTTAGTGATTTACGTTTTTTTTTTATTACAGTTAGATAGTCTTCCATCTATGGTTGCCGGCGTTTGGTCCGATAACGGTGCATCTCAGCTAGAGGCGACTACCCAGTTTCGAAAATTGCTTTCAATAGGTATTTTTATGCATTTCCCTTTGTTTTTCTTTTAATTTTATCTGAATTTAAAAAAAGTTGTTTTTTTTAAACAGAGAGGAGTCCTCCAATTGAGGAAGTGATACAATCTGGCGTTGTTCCTCGCTTTGTTGAGTTTCTTATGATGGAAGATTTTCCACAGCTTCAGGTGTGACTTCTTGATTGCTATTCTCTGTTTTTTGGCTGTTTAATTTCTATGTGAATTTTGGTAATATATTTTGAGAATCTGTAGTTTGAGGCTGCCTGGGCACTTACAAATATTGCTTCTGGAACCTCGGAGAACACAAAGGTAGTTATTGATCATGGAGCTGTTCCGGTTTTCGTGAAGCTTCTTGGTTCCCCAAGTAGTGATGTTCGTGAGCAGGTATATTTTAGAAGTCCTTTGAGTTAAGTTTGAGACTTGCAATTCTGGGATAATTGTGTTTTACCTAGTAAAGAGTATATAGATATTTGTAGTGAGTATTTTGCTTGTTAATTTTTAGGCTGTGTGGGCATTGGGGAATGTTGCTGGTGATTCCCCTAGATGTCGTGATCTTGTTCTCAGTCATGGAGCTTTGATGCCGCTGTTAGCACAGTTGAATGAACATACTAAGTTGTCAATGCTGAGAAATGCCACTTGGACATTATCGAATTTCTGCAGGGGCAAGCCACAGCCTCCATTTGAACAGGTTTTCATATTGTTCTGTGCATTGTTCATTTTTACCGCTTCCCCTTTTTTTTATGTCTTTAATTGAGATTTTAAATGTTGCGAATCTGTTGGTTAGGTGAGACCAGCTCTTCCTGCACTTGAACGTCTTGTTCATTCAAATGATGAAGAAGTTCTCACTGATGCCTGTTGGGCTCTCTCGTATCTGTCTGATGGTACAAATGACAAAATTCAAGCTTTGATTGAGGCAGGAATTTGCCCGCAACTTGTTGACCTTCTGCTGTGAGTAGAACACCTAAAAACATCTTTGGTCTTTTTCACTTTTCTGTGAACCTGGTAGTTTATACATGTATTTTTGCAGTAATCCGTCTCCTTCAGTGCTCATTCCTGCTCTCCGAACAGTTGGAAATATTGTGACAGGAGATGATTTGCAGACTCAGGTATGGTTTAAGATTCTGCCTCATTCTTAAGTTTTACTTCTTCTGCTTCTATTGGTTTTTATTTTAGGCCTTCCATTTTCAGTTTATTATTGATCATGGTGCATTATCATGCCTTCGGAGCCTGTTGACCCATAATCATAAAAAGAGCATAAAAAAAGAAGCTTGCTGGACTATCTCCAATATTACTGCTGGAAACAAGGAACAGATTCAGGTGAGTAGAACATGGCAATTTTTGCTTCAAGCATTTTAAAATTGTCTGAATTTACTGATTCACTGGCCCTTTTGCTACTGGAAGTTATTCGTTAAGCTATGTGTATTATATTTTAAAATTGTTGTAGGCTGTAATAAATGCTGGGATAATTGGGCCCCTGGTCAACCTACTTCAAAATGCTGAATTTGATATAAAGAAAGAAGCAGCATGGGCAATTTCAAATGCTACTTCTAGTGGTACTCATGAGCAAATCAAGTATGTTATTTGTTGATTCTTTTTTGTTGCTTCCTCAGTTTCATTGTCATTGAACTGATCACAAAATCATTCTCCTTACATGGACATGAAGATACCTGGTTAGTCAAGGATGCATAAAACCTTTGTGTGATCTCCTTGCATGCCCTGATCCAAGAATTATAACCGTCTGTCTAGAGGGGTTGGAGAACATTTTGAAGGTTGGTGAAGCTGAGAAGGCTGTGGGTGCTGGAGAGATTAACTATTGTGCCCAATTGATAGAAGACGCTGAGGGATTAGAAAAGATTGAAAATCTGCAGAGTCACGATAATAATGAGCTCTATGAGAAGGCAGTCAAGATTCTTGAGACTTACTGGTTGGAGGAGGATGAAGAGACACTTACCCCTGTTGATGGTACTCAGCAAAGTTTCCAGTTTGGAGGGAATGGGCTTCATCCATCTGGTGGATTCAACTTCAGTTGAAGGTTTGTATGGTGTATACTTAAAATATTTTTTTCTTTTCTAGATTTGAACCCCAAACCTGGAGGGTTGTTTATTTATTTGATGAATTTAACTGTTAACTCTACTGATCTAGTTTATTACTGAAATTGCAGGGCTTTATAGCTGGTTGGATTGGATTAAGCAATCCGTAATGCAGGTTACGACTGATACTTTGGGTCAAAGTTTGACGGCGGGTTTGGTCAGGCACCTTGACGGGTCTGGTTATATAGTCTGTCCAGTGTCCACTGTGGTCAACGAGGTGCGTAGTTAGGTCTATCTATACCAGATTTCCAAATATGGATGGGGTGGGTACCGTTATGAGCAGGCAAAGTTGTCTGCAATATATTCATTGTACCAGGAAATTACATGTGAAATGGTTCAATGCAATGCAATGGGAGGTGTCCCCTGGGCTTTAGCTTTGTATAGACAGGACCCCTTCACTTAAATGGGTATGTAGGTAAAGAGTTGCCTTGTGTTTGTTTGAGTCGAGTTCTTTCAGTCTCTAGATGGCCGGTATTTGCTTTCTCATGACTTGAATAATGTTGAATATTGAGTATTGATAAACCTCATTTTATGGCCTATTGCGAGAAGAGAAAAAGAAATTTAACACTATGTTTGGATTGAGAGGAGAGGAAAGAAAGTAATGGAATCAGAAAAAAAAAAAATTCGGTTTGAATAAACTTTTAATTTAGAGGAAAAGAATGAGGTGAAAACTTAATAATTTTTTATTTTTATAAATATTCATTTTTTTAGTACTTCAATTTGGGAAAAAATTAAGAAAAAGAAAGTTGATAAAATTTTATTTTTATGAAAAGATTATTATATTTATATTTTTATTATGATATTAAATTTGATTATATGATTGATATCATCTATAAAGATAATTTTTTTATAAATATTTTATATAATATAATAGATTATAAATATTTTATAATTTTTTAAATCTTAATAACAAAATAAGTTAAATTATTATCAGAATAAATTAAAAAGTTATATTAAATACAAAATTAAGAGTAGATTAATAATTAATTAATATATTTTATCAAATTAAATATGTTTAATTTTGTTCAAAAAGATTTGTTTATATAAATTAGATAATATAAAAATATATTTGTATGTTATATATTATTTTATTAAAAAATATTATAATGAATTATTTTTTTATTATTTATTCAAATAATAGTTGTCAAAAAAATATTAATTTTAACTATCCAAACAAAAAAAAAATGAATCCTTTTGTTTAAAAATTTTTATTTTTTTATTAATATTTATTCAAACATAATATAACAATATATTTCCCTGTATATTTTTCATCTAAGGATGATAACCTTTCCCATGATCATGTGACTCTCTCACTCATCATTTCGTTTTCATTTTTCTCATTCACAATTCACACATAACCATGAAAACAAATAAATGAGAAACCTTTTTTTTTTTCTAAATTAGATATTTGAAGTACTAATTTGGACAGAAAAATAACCACTAAATCTTTTTACATAAAGAGACAGTGAAATTCTCAGTTATCAAATTTGTCTAATGCCTTTTTACTTGAATGAAAGAAATCATGACAGAAACCCATTTATTATTTCACCATCATTGGAGAAACAGTGTGTCATCCTTTACCTTATCTCTCTGTTTTGTCTCCACCAGATCTCAGTAAAAACAGTAACATGATTTTGGATGGAAATTGAAATTTTTGTGGTATGATGGGCCATGGTGTTGGTATAGTCCTTTTTCTTTTTACTGTCTGTTATTGACTGCAATTAAAAAGGCTTCAAGGTGCTTTCATTTTCCTTCACTGTCAACATAATATCTGACAGAATTTTGTCCCTTCAGTTGTATCTTCTTCATTTTTTTCCTTTATCAAATTCTTTGCCCTCAACAGTTGTTGATGCACACTCCTCATTCTCGTTACTTTGAGCTGTGTGCACCACAAGCACAAGCTGATATTCCTCCATCCAACCACAGATTGGAACCGCTCTTTCTTTCCTTGCCCATGTTGTTTCTGATTTATCTTCATTTCCCATTTAGATTTGTTTTAAAATAATTTATATCGTGCTTAAAGAATCCCGATAATTTTAAATACGTAATATGATGTAAAAATAATAAGTAATAAATTGTATATATATATATATTTTTTATAATCATATTTCATATTTTAATTATATTAATATATTTAAAATATGATGCTACACGATCGTATTTTGTATTTTACTCATGTTACACGTATCAATACATTCATATTTCGTATCTTACTCATGTTATACGTTTAAGATATTATTAATTAATTAATTATATTTTAATCGTGTTAACAAATATAAATGACATGTTTGTAACACATGTACAATTATGTTTTAATGTTTTTATTATAATATTATTTTGATTTAATGTTAGATTATTAATTAGATATTTTTAATATTAATCACATTAATCATGTTTAATTATGTTAATCGTGTTGTATCATATTATTCATTTTTAAAATCGATTAAAATATATTAATCGTATCATATCATATATATAACACGTATAATAAATATATCATATTTATATTTTTATAATTCATATCATTGAAATATTTATATTATATTTATATTAAAATTATTCATATCATATTTACAATTATGTCTAATATAAAATATACAATTTATTATATCTATTTTTTGTGAAGGGAAGGGTTTGATGGTTTAAAATTTCAGCTCTATTTGTTATTATATTATTCTCCTCTCTTATCCTAAGGAAAAGATGGCAAGAATGAATGATAGAGAGATGTTGTGCCACTATACGATTCGGTGAATGACATCAAGGTCCCATTACTCTTCTGACTTTCAAACCCCACACATGTCAACAAGATCGTTTAAAATCAAGTACCAATTCATGTACCTTATTGAGATTAACCTCAGCAAATAAGAAATACTCCTACTAACAAGTAGCATGACTCAAATCTCCTGCCCAACTTACCTTCCTTTTTGTTTTTACTCTCTAATTTGGATTACATCATAAAATTAAACTCCATAAAACTATTATGATCAAACTTGGTAGATTATTTCTTAAAGTGCACTTTACAATAATGGAATTCGAATCATAAGCATGCATATGTATTTGAGACAATATTAGCCCTTGAGTGTTTTTTTTTTTCATTTATATAGATAAGAAATAAAGATGTTCATGGGTTGAATTTGATCAAATTTATTATTTAATTTTTTAAAAAATTCATCCGAAATTTAAATAGATTTAAAAATTATGCTTAAATTAATTTAACATGTTTTAATTTATTGTTAAAATTTTCTTAAAATTTAAGTGGACCTTCAAATTTAAATGAATAACTTGCATAATTATTAGAACCAAATAAAATCGTCAGTCCTATTAGTTGAACTAATGAATTGCTGTTGAAATTGGTTTGATTTTAACATTAGACCAATTTTATAATTAAACTATTTAAAATTATTGTGAATTAGTGGTTTATATAATAAATCAGTAAATTGATTTTTTTAATCAAATTAGTTTAATACCAACTAATAAATTTAGATAAAATATAAAAAAACTTTTTGAGTATTTAAAATAATCCAATTTAGCCCTTATACTACTATTTCATTTAAATAAACCCCTCAATTTTTATTTTTTATTATCAAAACCTTTATATCATTATATTAATAATATATTGACATATTTTAAGACACAAAAATAATGATGTTACAAAAAAAAACTTACATATGAGTAAAAAAAACAATCTTAAAAAAAAAGATGATCTAAAAAAAATTATTAATTGATACCAAAATTAAAAATAATTATAAAATTAATATATAAAATTAATAAAAAATAAAATATTAAGTAATTTTATTTCTAACTATAATTAATTATTCTATGAAATTTATATTTTAAAATTTATAGTTTTATTATTAAATTATCAAATTATAACTTAAATTAAAAGTTTAAAATTTTAAAATATTTAAAATTTTATAATATTTTTTATTAAATCAACAATTAATCTGATAATTGAATCATTAATCATATAACTCAAAATTTTGAACGATTTAATGTTTGAATCGATTATGATAATTATGATAATTTGACTTTTGAACATGTCTAATAAAAAATAGTAATAATCAAGGAGGATCACAAAAGTGACGGTACTATCCAGGATGACAATCGATCAATGAATCAATTGCCACTGTCATGGATGGGAAATGTATGTGCAGCATCTTATCAAACATCACATGCCACTGTCAAATTCAAAGATTTTTCCGGGAAAACAAACAGCAGACAAAATCAAAATTTGGAGCCAAACCAAACAAACAAACAAACAAAAAACCAAGTCAGTGGCGCCCTTTTTGTTCATTTTTGGAAGACCTTTTTTGGCGGGTGGCAACATTGGATAAAAACTGTACCAACCAATGGCATTTAAGTCATTTCACAGCCACTAAGCTAGGGTTTGGCGTCTCATTTATAAGGAGTTTTTTGGATCAGACCTCCATGAAGTGCTTTGTGTCGTTTTGATTCCTCTGTTTTCCTTTCTTTTTCTCTGTTTCTCTCCAAATCTTTCCAGCGAGAAATTCAGTCTCTCACTTTCCCTACTCTTTCCCTTTCGCATGTCGGTTTCCTTCTTCGGTTAACCCCCAAAACTTTCATTTCATTTCTTCTTCATTACTTTGATCTCTTCTCTTCTGAGTCCCTTGGTATTTCTTTCTACTGCTTTATTTTTGTTTTGTTTTGCATCATTTTCCATCTGGGTTTGCATATTTTGATCTTATAAGATCTGTTTCTTTATCCAAACTAGCTTTATTTTCACCTCCCATTTAAACTTTCTGTGTTTAAGAACTTGGGTTGGTCTCAGATCTTCAAAATATCAAGTAAAAATGCTGGATCCAACTGATAAAGTGAGTAATCATAGCTCTTGTTCGTTTCTTGATTTGATCCGGAGTTTAGCCTCCCATTTCTTTAGCTGATTCACTTTTTCTTTTATCTTTTTCAGCAGGGATCAGATTCTGAAGATCAAAACAAGAAATTCCCAGAAAGGGTTTCACCAAAAGAAGCCCAAAATCAAAGCTTAAGCAATGAAACAAAGAAAACTTGTGTTGATTGCGGTACCTCTAAAACCCCTCTTTGGAGAGGTGGCCCAGCTGGCCCCAAGGTAATTTTTTTTTAATCATTTTAAACTTTTTTTTAATCTTTACTTTTTGTTTGGACCTGATCTGATTCTTTGTTGTTTTTGTTTGCAGTCTCTCTGTAATGCATGTGGGATTAGAAGCAGGAAAAAGAGAAGGGCAATTTTAGGATTAAACATAGGAGAAGACAAAAAATCAAAGAGAGGAAATAGCAATGGTAACAGCAACAGTTGTTCAAGTAACACTAAAAATTTAGGAGATAACCATAACTTGAAGCAGAGATTATTGTCTTTAGGAAGAGAGGTTTTGATGCAAAGATCAACGGTTGAGAAGCAAAGAAGAAAGTTAGGAGAAGAAGAACAAGCTGCTGTTCTTTTAATGGCTCTTTCTTATGGTTCTGTTTATGCTTAGTTTATTTTTTTCTTAAAAAATATATATTTAGAGTAAAAAGTAACAGGATCTTTAGTGGGTATCTAACCATTTTCAAATGTAATCTGTGGTGACTTTTCCCTATCTTTGTAGTTCCTTTTTTAGTGTTTGCTAACTGTATTTGAGGATGGGAAGTGTTAAGAAGTGAATATTTCTCATTTTATTTTTCCTAATCTAATTGAAGTTGTTATTTGATGTTTTGTGGAGTTTGACATCGCAATTTGTGTTTTATAGATGTGTATTCTCGATTCCATTTCCAGGAAAATAAAGGAATGAAAGGGGTATTAAGTTAGAATGGAAAGAAAAAGAAAAATGAATTTCCACCCAAGTCCCAAAATTTTCTAAGGCGCCAAACAGCATAAAGTATTGATGGGATTCAAAGATTTTCCCGATATTTTGATCTTGGCTAAACTAAAACAGCATGTACCGCGAAGGAATGTACTAGTAATAAACAAATCTGAGACAAGAAAAACGGAAATTAATGTAGAAATTGGAGTCAACTATAAATTCTTTGATGTTGAAATGAGGAGGGCGACATCGAATTTTTGCTACTAAATGCTATTTTTTTAATTTAAATTTTCTATCTTTGAAAATCTATTTCAACGGTGAAATCAGAAAGCAAATATACAGGTATGATATGTGCTGACAAGTCCACGAGTAACTTTGACAATCTTTGAAGACACGTTCTGCTATGCAAAAGCATGTTGTCGTGTTCAGAATTATCAAGCTGCAACCAGGCAGGTTCAGTTTAGTGAAGTGCTTGGGACCATATTTAACCATGGGATTGACTATTGAATTAAGATCAAATTATTTTTGCAGATTGGATATAATCATGAGCTAAAAGCCGAAAAAATAGTGATGGGTAGTGAAAGAATTTACTGCATCTGTTTCTATCCGAAACGCTGTAATCATTCAGGTAAAAAGGCATGCAGGAGCTTTATTTAGCCACCCTAGTTGCCAGAATTTGCAGGGAGCTTTCAGCTTTAGACCCTTCCCTAGCTATGGCTAGAAGTGGTTGGAGAATGAAGACAAGCTATCAATGGCAGAACCACTTTACGGTTAGGCACCAACACTGCAGCAGATAGTATCGATGGTTTTTAGCAACCGGCATGAGCCATGATGCCCAATGGCACTCTTCAATTGTTAGCTACTATCTTTCAAAGCTAAAAGCAATGTGATATACAGTTAGGCAAATCTCGCACAAAACTTCCCATTGTGCAGGAATTAGAGTGAGGATCTATAGTATGCAACATTCTTTTTATATTTTCAAAAAAAAGTTATTTTTAAGATAATAATCCGTGATTTTCCGATCATAAAAGAGAAATTTTATTATGCTCAAAAGCTCTTTTTTATATCCAGTTATTTATAAGAATAGCTTGTTTTAGCAGAATTGGCTAGGATTTTAAGATGATCAATTGAAAGGAAAAAAAAATGTAAAATAATTGATCATTTGATTTTGGGATTATTCAAAGAAGTTGGAATTGTCAGGTTCAATATGTTGTTGAAACTAATTTTTCTGCTAACAGGATAAAACAAAATGAGAATATGCTATCATTTGCGTTTGGGTTGATAAAGGAGGCCGACTCTCTGACATTAGTGTCCTTTAAACTTCAAATTTTTTGCAAGGAACTTGACAGCCAAAGCCCATAAAACTCCTATCGCCACCATTTGATGTTGAGCTTGATCACATGAGCTTGGAATGGAAATCCTGGCCCAGCTTAATATTACACTAGCAGATTCAGAGTTCAGAACTCTTTGTAGCCCAATTGTCTTTCTTATCATGGACCATAGGAGCCCATATAAATTTTTTAAGGCTCGAAAATTAAATACAAAATTAATTCATATAATTATTTTTAAAAAACGATATCAAATAAATTTAAAGTTTAAATCTTAACAGTTAAAATATTTTCTCCTGTGATATTGTTCGTAAAAATAAAAGTTTAAGTTATGATTTAAAGCAGAGTTACTTACATGTTAATCATTTTAATCATTAAATGATTAACATGACAATGACTTACCCAAAAAGTATCAAGAATGTTAGAAGTTTGAACTTCTGCACATGTTAGCTACTGATTGAAAGAGAAAAGCATAAGTTAAATGTGCAAAGAAAGCTTGAGGAAGATTTATTAGCAAAGCACATCATCACCAAACATGCAAATATTGGGGTACGAGAGATGGGCCTTTGGCTGGCGGCAAACGAAATTGTCAGAGCTTTGACCCCACATTTTTGTTCACATGATTTGTTGCATCCATTAGCAAACCATGTCAAGTGGTGCCAACCCCTTTTTTGTGCTTTTACAAAGTGTATAATATTTTTATGCTTTATCTAAATCTAATATTCTCTCAGCATGGTTTTAAGAGTAAATTCTTTCACATCAACATAAAGCAATAAGAAATTTTATTCTCACAAAGATTGAAATCTGATTGATAAACCCTTGTCATGAAATTTGTTAAGACTATTTACATGTTCAAAGGTTAGATTGAATTTTTTTTATTAGAGTTTGTTAGTAAATAGTTAAAAATATTTTTTATTTTTAATTAATTTGATATATCAGTTCAATTTAATAATGCATAATGTCACGTTAGTTTAATTACATCATTATTTTATTTTATAAACTTTTCATATTTTATCAATAAATAAAATCATTCAAGTATTATTCATCCATTTGATTATTTCTTTTACTTTCTCTCTTTTTTTTTTTTATCAATCTCTTATATTTCTGCTTCTTATTTGATTGTCAAAGTATAAATACCAAAAATATTTTTTATTTTTATTTTTAATCTCTCCTTTTTTTTGTATGATTTTAAAAATTTTATCCTCAATTCAAAATTCGAAATCAATATTATTATATTAGTTACATTAACAACTTAATTTGACATCAAAGCAAGTATGACAAGAGGCTATGGATCTTTTACATAGAAAGATTCCAACATTGCAAGAGCTACAGCCCAAGAAATTGTATTTCATATTAATCAATATTAAATTCAATCAGTAATTGTGGAAATTTCATATGGGTTGCCCTCAAAATCTTTTGTAGAACTAAAAGAGAGAGCCATATTCTCTTCACTTCTCCTTAGGATACCTTTGCCCACTTCACTGGACCCCACCATACATCATATTACATGCCATCCAGCTAATTGTCCCTGGAATTCTCACTATCATTCCCTCAAAAAAAGAAAAAAAAAATCAAGATTTTGGGTGATTGTCCCCACAATCTTGCCCAGCCTGTTCCTCCACAGTCCATCCACGCATTAACTTCACTTTCTCATTTGTTTTTATTTATATCGTTTTTGGGAAAGGGAAAATGTGGCATTTCTTGAGCCTTCAATTTGGGTAACTACGGTTCAATTAAGTGGATCTGACATTTCACTCTCCACAAACAATATGTTCTTCTGTCTTTTTTATCCTTTGATGATAAAATTTTAACACTAAAAATAAAATTAAAAAAGAAATAAAAAAAGGGGTCACTTTGAACAAAAAGGACATCCCACTTTTTCTCCACATGGAACTATGGAAAAGGTAGGGGTTAGGCCTTTTTAATAGAATGCCATTGTGAAGGCAAAGAAAAAGTTTGTTGAAGCATTAAAAAGTCCTAAAAAAAATAATGTAATATTGAATTACCTTGCTGGACCTGACATTGGTTTGATAAATAAGGGGTGCCCTCTGAAATTTGGGGTCCATGTCCCAAGAGCACATTGGTGGTCAATGGTGGGTCATAAAATTGAGTTACTACCATTGAGATGGGCGTGTCAGAGCTTCTCAGATGAACTCAATCAAGATCAGACCCTGCTAGATCCTGTTGGGTGGGCTGCTGCTGCCACCTACGGTAGCTGATTGGTCGGAGCCACCTGATCTAAAAGTCCTTGTAGAGTTGTAGTACTGGATTAGGTGGTTAACCCGAGTCTCCAAGGAGGGAAGTGGCCAAGGTCAGTAGATTGTAGCCACCAGCTTGAAAGAATCTTTCTTTCTTTTTTTTTTTTTTAACACAAATTTGTTAGATATGGTTTGAACAATTTATTACAATGAAGCTTTCACCAGTTGAGTAATTGACTGGCATTGGGCTTTATTACATTATGAGAAAAAAAAAAAGGAAAATAATTTATTAAAGGGAAGTAAAAATGTAAAAGCCCTAAGTTCAACTACCTTACGACTGAGAAAAAAACACAAAATTAAAAATTAATTTAAAATTATAGTATTTAATTTGTCCAAATTACTTTTTTCATTTAATTAAAATTTAATTCAAATATTAAATATATATTAAATTCGAATTAAATTTTGAATTGAAATATAAAAATATAAAACAAATTAAATTAAATTATATACTTTTATTAATTTTATATGTTTTAAATTTTTGTAAAATAAAATAATTATTTTATATATAAATTTATTTAAATATATTAAAATAATATATAAAAAAAATTTAAATTTAAAAACTGATTAATTGCACTAAAATAATTTAAATTTTAAAATTTATAATTTTATATATTATTTTAAAAAATAAAACAAATGATCTAAACTGTTATGATCCCTGCTAAAAAAAAAAAGGTAATATGCCTCGGGAGGACTTGAATTTCACCAAAACATAAAAGCATGTTAATATCTAACAGACCCACTTCACCTAAGTTCAACAAGTAAAAATTGATGCCCATCAATGAGCTTTTTACTTCAATACTCTTCAAAAATCAACTGAATGAGAGTTTGATTTAAGTAATGGATGCATGATCTCACTTCAAATGAAGAAATGATGTGAAAGGAGTATTATAAACTGGCTTATTACCTCTAACTTGGGTTTATGGGCCAACAAATTTGGATACCAATCTTAATCCAAACCCCATTGATGCAACAGGAAACTAACGTGACCATTCAGTAAACTACAGACAAAAAAGGGTGCTTAGCATGTAAACTCAAAAGCTCAATTATTGTCAAAAATTGACTAATTGTTTTATTTTTACTTCCCAATTAACATTAATATTAATGGAACAAAAATAGATACAAAAATTATCAGAAACAAATTACAGATCAATCTACAGCATGAGAAGAAGATAAAAGAGCCCGAGGAAAAAGAAAGATTACTCCATATTTTTAAAATTCTCAGGTTTTGTTGCTTTCTTTGCCCATCTTCAAATTTTTTTTTTTTAAATCTTTTGATCTTTCTTTAGAAAAGAATTGCATTGTTGTAACCACTTGAAGCAGCTCCCATCAGCTCTCTTTTTTCTTTCTCTCAGCTGTAGATGTTTCCGACAGATCTGCCAATCCGCCACATTATTTTAATTTTTTTTCTTCTTTAGCTTTCAATATCGAACGGCACAAAGGAAAAAACCATACATGGCAACTAAGGTTGAAACCCAACAAGCTATCAACTTGTCAGACCCTGAAGGTGGTGGAGGAGTGTGGTAGTAGAAAGGAAAGTAAGGAACAATAGGGTTTGGAGGAGGTGGTGTTGGGTAGTTTTTGTACGTAGGTGGAGGGTAGTACAAGCCACCAATGACACCACTTGGCGGTGGTGGCGCATAGTAGTTGTTGCCACCAGATTGAGGTGGTGGTGGAGAGTAGTAGTAGTTTCCACCACCACCACCAGAGCTCGGTGGAGATGGAGGTGGTGGGCAGTAGTTGCTGTTAGCTACTGGTGGTGGTGGTGATGGTGGTGGCGGTGGTGGAACTGGCTGACATGGATTTGCACATGAAGAACACATTGTGCATTCGATCTGATACTTTGATGTCACATTTGGACCGCTACTACTTTCTTCTGAACAAACAACTAAAGTTAGTAGCATCATCACAAACATTGAACTAACAATTGTCTGAAAACTTTCCATCTATGGAAAGATTGACAACAAACAACAGCTTTTGATTCCCTAACTGATCAACTGAATTTCTTGAGTGCACCACCCTAAAAAAACCAACAAAAATGCTTAAATTTTTGGGTATTGCTTAATATTTGAACCAAGGAAAATCAAAAGAAACAAAAACGAAAGGGAGAGAGAGTGAGTGAAGGGCAATGACAGTGTTAAAAAGAGATTGATGTGTGTCCCTTATCATTGAAGCTAACCCAGAAGCTCTTTTTATGAGGGATTAAAGAAAATTATTTAAATTTAATTTATTCAAAAGAAAAAAAGGGAAAAAGTAGGGGTAAGACTAGAAAAAAAAAATGGAGGTTGAAATTCTAAAAGATAACACCGACACGTTTTACTTTATCTCACGGCAGCAACGTTTGAACAGGGCACCGAATTTTACCAGGAATGGAAGGAGTTTTATGTCCATCAGGTCAAAAAGTAAGGGTATTTTTGGGGTTTAGAAGGATAGTTTTGTGACGTGTTGAGTGGTAATTGGACAGAATTAAAAAATTTGGTACAGTAAGGACTTGTCTCGTGCGAGGATTATCACACGTGGACTGATGAGATTGGGTGATGGAATGATGACGTGGTGGAAGGAGCGTCGACGTGAAGCAGACGCAAGCTAAACGTGGTGCTTTTGGCCTTATCAACTCTCGAGTAGTGCAGTGAAGGTGGCCTAGTTTTTTGTTAGGGTATTCATGAATATTTATAAAATTTGTATTTTATTTTACTATTTTTAGATGATAATTTGAAGATTTATTTTATATAATAAAGTTGAAAATTTTTTGAATAGTACGGAAATATCTTGATAAGTGGGTTTAATTAAATCAAGGTTTTTATTTTTTTTGTCATGATCAATAATTATTTTTTATATATAAAGTCAATAAAAATTAAATTTTAATTTAAATATTTTATCAACAAGTAATATGATTATTAAAAATATTATCCTTTTCATATCATTTTATTTCTTTATTACCTTATATTACAATTTGGGGTTTGTATTTAACTCTATTCTTGTTAAATATTACTTTATAAAATGATTATACAAATCAATTATTATTAAATTAAGTTCTAAATTATGTAATAACATTATAATTTTTATGAGTCTTACTATCCTTAATTTTATACTATAGCGATAAATTAAACGTTGAAGGTAGGATGAAATAATTCAGATTTAATCGGATTTAAATTTTTTAAATAATATATAATATTATAAAATTTTTAAAATTCAATAAAAATTTGAATTGATTTTATTTTAAAATTAATTCGAATCGAATTATATTGATTCGGTTGATTAGGTTTGGTTCATCAATATTTAAAAATTATTATTTTTTATTTTATATTATTTTAATAGAAATTTTAATATATTTAAATAAATTTATATATAAAATAATTATTTTTATTTTATAAAAATTTAAAAATTAATAAAAATTAATAAAAACTTATCATTCATTTTGATTTTTTTTATTTTTCATATTTCGATTCAAAATTAAATTCGAATTTAATATATATATATTTAATATTCTATTGTGATTTAAATTGAATTAAAAAATCAATCTAAACAAATCTAATATTATAATTTTAAATATTTTAAATATTTTTAACTTTTTATTCTTATCCCTAAGGGACTGCTCTCACCGAACAAAAACAAACAAACAAACAAAATTTGGTATGGGAGCCCTTTAAAAGGATAAGCAGCTAACCCCTATCCATGCACCTTCTCAAATTTGATTTATCATGTAGAAACCAGCTCACGGTACAGTTAATTTAAGCAAAGCTTTTCATCAGCAAACGTGAGCCCCAATGGCCGTCGCTTCGGCTTTGGTGGACCTTCCCAGGCTGGTTCGGTGGTATTAAGAGATATACGTATTGCCTTTTGCACAATCTTGGCAGTGGATTCCACCATGGGAGGCTCGTGACAATAATAATTCAATTTCAATTTATCTAAAAAGAGCAGTGTCGGCCCCTTTTTCCTTGTCAATTTTCTCTCTTGATGGATCAAATGAAAGTCAAATCAGCTTAAATCTGTATAACGTTTGTAACTAATGCTTGTAATTCATTGTCATTTTTATCAATAATGTAGGGTTGAGAATGGTTATATGAAATTGGGCAGTATAGCTTAGAATTTTTATCAAGGAATTCGATTTTTTTTTATTTGAGTAATTTTGAATTTGATTCATTTTAATTTTAAATTATATAAATCTGACACTCGAATTATTTAAATAATTTTAAATTAAAAAATTATTAAGTTTTAAAATTATATGCTGCTAAAGGTCGATTAAGTTTGAGTTATTGTAAATTGAAATTATTTTTTAAATTTGCATTTTGTGAATTCAATTATTAACTTTTTATGTTCAAATTAAGTTGAATAAAGTTCGAATTTGAACCAATTAGATGAATTTTTGGGTTCAAGTCAACTTTGCTATATCTAATTCACATGGCATTTCATTTTATTCATATGATGACAAGTTTATTTTTATAAATGAATGTAACGAAAGCAATAATTACAAGAGGATTACCTGTAGTTAAAATTTTTGCATTAACAGTAAAATTCAATTATCATTCTCAATCTAAAGTGCAATCACTTATAATTGTTAGTGAACAGTAAAATTTAGATCATATAATGCAAGCTTTTGTCAAAGGTTTCACATTGAACAGATCCAGCATATGTAAAGGTGAAATCATATGAATATATAACTTCAAAAGGAGAAAATTTTAACCCCCAAAAAGCTAGAATCTCTTGGACTTTACTCATTTCTTTTGTTTCCTTTTAACTTCTTGGACGTCATAGAGAGCTTCCACACTTTACATGGCAAATAACCTTTTGTTCTTTTAAAGCATGATTGCTTAGTTGGAACAGCCTATGCCTAAATGAATTGAAATCTCCATAACAAATACGAAATCGGTTTATATTAAATAATCCAAATAGTGGCTTTTTTGTCTCAAATGAAACCTAAATTTCGTTCGATTAATTTTTTTATTTAAAAAAAAAAAATCGTAATCAAAAATAAAAAAATTACAAATATTGAAATTTAAACGTTTTAATCTATTATATATCATCTCTTAATGGTAAACAAAACAATAATCTTGAGTAAATTTAAGGATTAATACCAAATTTTTCTTTATCAAGAACAAGAAGATATTAAGGGACAAATTGTGCATAATGATAATAGTAATTTTTCTATGGACTGAAAAAAGTGTCAAGAAACGATCAGAAGGGATGTAATGGACCTACAAAAATAGGGAATGTGTCTTTATAATTTGTAGTTTGAGGTGGAAGGTTGGTGAATTGTCAAGTCTCAATGACACAATATGATCCACTAAAATGACACCAAAGAAAATGGTTTTGGACTCCACTACCAATTGTATTGGTTCATGGATTGGTGACATTTCCAATACAGTTTTATGCATGGCAATTCACTTAAAGAACTTGTTTGGTTGGCAGTCTACATTGGCCTATATTCCCTGTCCCTTTGATGATTGTGATCAGTCTGTGGAGAGAATTTTGCAGTGAACTTTATTCTCAATCCCTCCACATGCCTTGCACGGCTACACCAGCTTTACCATCGGCAAATCTGTCGAGTTTCCAATGCCTTTTCATTGAAAATTTGATGGTTTTTTCTGTGAGACTAATGGAATCTGAGGATGAGGTTTTTGGTATGACAGACCTTTTATAATTATATCAGAACTGAATATTTTTTTCAAACGGATCACTTTGAGTTTGCAGTAATATAACACAAATACTAAGACTTAGTAATTTTAAATATGATATAAAATAATATAATTAAAAAAATAAATATAATATAATTTAAAATTTTAATAAAAATTATAAATAAATTTAATAAAATAAAAAATATTATATATTTTTATATTAATATAAATTATAACATATAATTTTTATATAAAATATAATATAAATATATAAATTTTTAATATTTTATGCCATAAAAATATACAAATTATCAAATTTCAAAAGTATTTTGACTGATTTATTGAAGCAATAATCCAAGAGAAAAAATATATTAGATTCTGTTAAAAAAAGCAGTCTTTTTCACTCAATTAACGGATAGTTTTTGATTTGAAAGCAACCCTTTACATTTTCTCTTCCAAGGACCAATAATATAACAGAACTATTAGTTCAAATATCATTGTCACAACAAGTGGTTCGCAAGTCACAATAGTTAAGCTCAAATTTTATGTTTTGCTCTTTATTTTTCTTATTATTAGCATTGGCCCCCAAAATAAGGTGGCTGCAGATATATGTAAACCATTGTTAGCCTCTGTAACAGAAGGTAGGAGCGTGTGCCTCTAATGGAATTCAGATGTGGCTGAAAAACGCTTGATAGATTGATGAGAGAGGGACAGAGTTTTCAGGGTGGTGTCCAAGAAATGCAGTTGCGGCGACACGTGCAGAAGGGAACAAAAGAAACCGCAAGGTACTGATCCTACAAGTAAGCCATGCATCTCGAATAGCGTGACTACCCTGTACCCATGTGATGGTGGGGCTGAAAGTCTGAAACCGTGGGTTCATGCTTCACGTTTTCATAATACAGGGAAAGATAAAATTTTAAGATCAATGAAATATGCATATTTCATAATATACTAACAGACACTTAAATCTCATATAAAATATAAAAAAAAATAATTGAGATATATAAGAATTCACATCATTATATTTTATGAGATATTTTTTATTAAACAAAATAATAAGATCAAAAAAATCAAAATGAATAATATCTTAAAACGGTATAAATTGTAATAGATAAATTAATTTGAGACGTGGGATGAATAGATATATGGGTCTTAGAGTCATACAGATTGAAACTTAAGTTTCGATCCAAGACAAGTGATATCAGAGTCAATCTTAAATCGTTTGATTCACGTCAAGCACATCGAAAGAGGTAGGTAGAATGATCAGCCTCCGTGATGAAAGCGTCACAAGATTGGATAGAAAAAAATATCATGGACTTAAGAAGGAGTCTTGAATCTCACATCGAATACAAAAAAAAATGTTACTGTAATATATAAAAATTCACATCATGTCTGACTTGTGTGATATTTTTTGTACAATAAAATCGTGAGATTAAGAGAGTCAGAGTAAACAATATCTAATAAGAATATGAATTGCGATAAATAAATTGATCTAAGATGTTATGAGTGGATATCCGAATTTTAAAATCATAAAAATCGAAATTTAAGTCTCGATCTGTGACACACGCACATTTCTATGGGCCGTAGAGGATAATTGGATGCATGCAAAAGTTAACGGGCCAACGGTGAATGAACATGAGTTCATTGGATAATTCAGAACAGGGTGAAGTAATTATCCACCAAGCCTATTTTCAATAGTCTATAACTATGAATTCCTAAACGGTAGAAGTTGGCAGCGAGGGATAAAATTTTGAAATTATAAAAAAATAATAAAGTGATTAAAAATAAAGGTTGGGATATCCTTAACGTTTATGTTTCAACATTCAAATTAAAAATCAATTAAAAAAAGAAAATAAAAAGAAAAAATAAAGAAAGTGAGAGAATTTAATATGTCTAAATGGTATCCAAGTGATTTTATTTACAGTTAAAAAGTAAAAGATTTCAGACAACTTAGATTTGTCTGAGATTAATCCAATAATCAAGGATGATTTAGAGTATTGAATTGATCCAAACATCAATTATCACTTAAAAGATGACAAGTCAACATTGAAAGGGTTTACCAAGTAGATTAAGAAGATAATTGAGTCAATGTGTTATTGTAATTTCAAATCAATTTAATATATCAAATCAATCTAAAAATTTAAAATATCTTTAATTATTTATTAACAATTTTTTATGAAAGAAAATGATCAAAACATCCTTTGAATCTAAAAATGTCTTTAAAATAGGTACCAAGAATTCCTGGTTTTGATTTGTTGTTTCACTTTCTCAAATTCCTAAGAAAGCAATTTAGCCGAGGAAGGTGGGCAAAATGACCATTCAACCTGATATTTTCACTCAAAGGATGTTAAAGATAAGAACATTGTTGTTTGTTTAAGGCCATAAGTCCAAAACCGACCAGGTTTTTGTCTCATAGTTATTAAAATGACAGGGACAACAAGGTGAGAAAATGGCTCATGTCTGTCTGCTGATATAGTTGAATCAGGCGGCCCAGCTATATATATTAGTCTTGCTGTCACAAGCTATATGAACATTTCAAAATCAAGGATTCTCGAACATTGTTATCAAAATGAAATGCAACGGCTACTAGCACCGCTAACATCAAGCTTCGTAAGTTACAGAGTTGTAAATACGCTTAATTGTTCCCTGGAGAACCCCAGGACTGAAAGTGAAAACCTCCTTCACAAATGCTAATAGGTTTGGTTTTGGATATGGTTTCTTTGAATGACACTCGATAAACTAAATTTGATAATTTCGATATAAAAATTATACAAATTAAAAATATAAAATAATATGATTTAAACTTTTAATAAAAATTATAAATAAATTTAATAAAATTAAAAAATATACATGAACTGTGACATGCTTTTTTTTCATGTAAAATAAAATATAAATATATAAATTATTAATATTTTATATGATACAAATATATAAATTATTAAACCTATATCTAACCTAGTTAAATGGGTCGAGCAAATAATGATTAAAAATCCATTTCACTTGCTATGGGCTTGAAATCCAATACATTTGTTGGGCTAACTCACTTACATCTTCCACGTTCCAAATTCCTATCCTTAGGCTTCTAGAATAACAATCAAGTAAAAGTATGCGTTTAGTTCAGAGCATAGACATGGACGTGCCCGCAACAAAAGCCGAAGATTGTGTTACTTAATGATCTCTAATCTCTTTGCATGAATATTGTTCCTTTTATATTCAATCTTTTTGCATGAATTTGTGGCAAACATCAATAAAATATTACAACCCTTCCTCTACGGTATTGAAAATTTTTTTTTTCACAAAGAACATTGTTCTTTAAGAATAAAAGAAGAAGTTGCATATATTAATATTTAAATTTAAATTTATTAAATATTATATTTTAAAATTATTGTATAAATTAATTAAATTATATATTTTATTATATTTATTTATTCAATTAATAAAATTAATTTTGATGATCGATTAATCAACCCACGTTTAATTATCATATTATCAAAAGTGAAGTGAAAGTCAATATTCAAATTTTTATCATAAAACAGGCTTGTCCTCTATTAAAAAAAAAACTCAGATTAATACTTTAACTAATATTCATTAAGACATCACTTCGAAATAACATAATTAATTTTTAATTTATCTAAAATAATTAAATATAATTCATAATCAATTACATAACTTCACATTAATTCACAATCAATTACCAAAGCTAACTATTACATACACATAAAGCTACCCTTTTCTTTCATAAGTCATAATGTAACTTCCAACATTCTAGATCAAAGTACCATGTTCATAAGCATCTTTGAATGTACTTGAAAATTTAAAATGTGAATGCTTGCCCAAAAAAAAAAAAAAGAACACTTTTTCGAAAGCAACACAAAATTGGGAGATGGAAAACATAATCATAGATGGATAGATCCCATAGGGTTTTATCATCCAATAAAAATATGTTGGTGGAGCCCACAAAACAACGGTTCCCACCGCCCTTTTCTTCACACGCCACCCAATGACTTTTTCCAAATTCAAAAATAGAGAAAAACCCAAACCCATTCCATTATAACAACGGTTACTTTCTTTTCTTCTTTTTCTGCTATGCACGTCAATCATATTCAAATTGGGCGGAAAATTCTATTTTTTTATTGTAATAGAAATAAAAATAAATATTAAAATTTGAAAATAAATATAAAAATAAATTTAAATTTAAATTTTTATTAAATATAAATTTAAATACAAAAATAAATCATATAATATCAGTCTTACATTTGAATTATATATATATTTATATGTAATAAATTAATCTTTTATCTAATAATATAAATTTTATTATAAATTTATTAAAATTAATATATTTGTATTTTTAAAAAAATTATATTTATAAAAAAATTAATTAAATGTATAAAATAAAAATAGAAAACTAAAAATTAAATTTATTTTTTATTTTTTAAAAAAATTATAAATATAAAAATTATTTATATCTATTGAATACTTATAAAATAAAAATAAATTTAAATTTAAAATATTTATTAAATATAAATATAAAAATAAATATAATACAATATAAAAAATTAAAAATAATACTCTACTCGCTCCCTACATCGTCGCTTTTTTCACTCTCATATTTCAAAAACATTAAAAAAAAAAAAAAAAAACGAAAAACCGAGACTCGTTAAACCTAACCAAACTGCGTCGTCGGCTCTAAACTATTTCCTGCGACATAATAAAAAAGCTTGTGCTTTCAAACAATTCCAGCTTGAACTAAGCTGTCTTGTCCAATCTCCCATTCCACGCGTTTCTTCGTCGCTACAAAAACTTTCGGTTTCTTTCTTCGTTTGATCTTTTCCTTGCAAAAAAAGAAAAAAATTATGGCTTTGAATGGGAACTACAATTTGCTCTTGATCTTTAGGCTGTCACTCCTTTTTACTCTTTTACCCTTGTCTTTGTCTCAAAACGTCACTGAAGCCCCATCCCCCGCCGCTGATTCCTGTAATGGGATCTTCTTATCTTATGCTTACAGTTCCGGAACCAAGTTAAAACCGACGGATCCGGCTCACCAACCGTACAGATTTGAGTCGGTTTTAACGGTGTTGAACAACGGCGACGAGAAGCTTAAATCATGGAGGGTTTTTGTGGGGTTTAAAAATGACGAGTTTTTAGTTTCAGCGTCGAATGCGGTTTTGGCTGATGGGACGAGTTTGCCTGCCAATGTTGGGAACGGTACCGTTTTTGCTGGGTATCCGATGAGTGATCTGAATACGGCGATTGAAACAGCGGGAGATTTGAGTCAGATGCAAGTTCAGGTTAAGCTTGTTGGGACTCAGTTTGGAGTGGCGCCTCCTGATGTTCCGTTGCCTGAATCTATTAAGCTTGCTAATGATGGGTTTGTTTGTCCTAAGGCTTCTTTGCAAGGTAGAAAAAGAAACCCTTTTTTCTAAAAATTTCTTGGGTGAAGTTCATTCATTATTTATTAAGTTATATATTTTTTATGTATGATTTTGTCATGTTGTTGGGGTGATGTGGGATATTTGAGTAAATTACAAACTGAGATTGACAATACAATTGTTGAGTCCTATATATATTTTTGTGGATTTGGTCAAATTTCAATGTTTGTGTAGGAACAAAAGATTGTCATATAAAAAGATTAAAAAGTTTTGATTTTGTAAAGTGTTTTCTAGGTGAATTTATGATTTGGTTGAAGTGAATAATTTGTTTAGAATGTAAAGATTTCTTAATTGAAGGTGTAAGCCTAATATCTAGGGTCATATGTTGGACTGAAACTCTGGTGCTAGGATTTTTCTGTTGCTGTAATAAGAACAATCTCTTGGTATAAGATTTATTACACATGGTTTTTGCCGCAATGTTTTTAGCTGTTTAATTTTCGCTTTGTTAACCAATGCCGAATAGAGATAGAAACTCTTTGATCTTGTTTCAAGTTTTTATGTTCCTATTTTTGCTGATTGTTGTTGTCTAATTGTAGTCTTGAACATTGTTTCAGTTGTTCATCTCTCTCATTCTCTCTCTCTGACCTGAATATAATCATTGTCTTGAGCATAGTTTAGTTGTTATGAATTTTATTTCAACATGCTTTCACATATTGATGGATATATGCTCTGTCGCTGGTGGTTCTTCAAGGTAAAACCGAGATGCAAGTTTGTTGTACCAAAGACCCAAAGTTGAAAACAAATGTTACCATAGATGAGGAATTCCTGCCTCGGCAGAGTGGTGATCTTACAATTATGTATGATGTGACCAGAACATATGACTCGAACTATTGGGCACAGGTTACTATCTCAAACCATAACCCCCTCGGGCGTCTTGATAATTGGAAATTGAGCTTTGATTGGATGAGGGATGAATTTATCTATACCATGAAAGGGGCTTATCCATATCTCGTTGATTCATCTGACTGCATATTTGGCACTCAAGGACAATACTACAGGGATCTAGACTTTGGCAATGTGTTAAATTGTGAGAGGAGGCCAACAATTATTGACTTGCCTCCAACAAAGGCCAATGATACAACCCTTGGGTTGATCCCTGAATGTTGCCGGAATGGTACAATCTTGCCACCAACAATGGACCCTAGCAAGTCAAGTTCAGTATTCCAGATGCAGGTATTTAAAATGCCACCAGATCTCAACCGCTCTGAGCTCTCTCCTCCTCAGAATTGGAAGATCAATGGCACATTGAACCCTGATTACCAATGTGGCCCTCCAGTGCTTGTAAGCCCTAGCCAGTTCCCAAACCCAAGTGGCTTGCCATCTAATACGACCGCAGTTGCCAGCTGGCAGGTGGTTTGCAATATTACACAGCCCAAGGGTGCAAGCCCCAAGTGCTGTGTATCCTTTTCTGCATACTACAATGATTCAGTTGTCCCATGCAGAACTTGTGCATGTGGGTGCCCCAGCAACATGGTCCGTACCTGTAACACTAATGCTCCAGCTGTTCTTCTTCCACCTGAGGCACTTCTCGTTCCTTTTGAGAACCGAACTGCCATGACCAAAGCTTGGGCTGATCTTAAACACCTAACAGTGCCAAATCCAATGCCATGTGGTGACAATTGTGGGGTCAGCATAAACTGGCATGTTTATACTGACTACTCTCGAGGATGGAGTGCTAGGATCACGCTATTCAACTGGGATGAAACTGCCTTCCCTGATTGGTTTGCTGCTGTACAAATGGATAAAGCGACCCCTGGGTTTCAGAAGATGTATTCCTTCAATGGAAGTGCCTTGGAGTTGAATGGTGTTAACAATACTATCTTCATGCAAGGTCTTCCTGGATTAAATTATCTTGTGCAAGAAACTGATGGAGCCAACCCACAGAAAGATCCTAGGGTGCCTGGAAAACAACAGTCGGTAATCTCATTTACCAAGAGAAGTACCCCTGGCATTAACGTGGCTGCAGGTGATGGATTTCCCTCCAAAGTGTTCTTCAATGGCGAGGAGTGTGCACTCCCTTCAGTATTGCCAACAAACAACAGTAATAAAAAGGGCTCTACTACCGTACTCTCAATCTTCCTACTAGTTCTTGTGTACATGTTGGTGCAGCAATAGCTGGAATGAGCCATTATTTTGTTTTGTTGGTCTTCCTTATAGTTTCTCTCTCGTTCATGTTGTATCAATAGCTGTGATGAGAGACCACCTGGTTTTGTAGCTAATACTGATTCCTTACTTCTTTCGGTGGTTTGATCATCACATGCTTTGTGGCATTACTACAGATGCTCATACCATGATTCGTTATAGAGGTTGCTGTGGAATTTGAAGTATATAGGTTGCCGTTGGGCTTATTATAGTGGTCTCTGCATAGTCATGAAAGAATATAAACACGTCATGACCAATGCTTTTATAATATTACTTTTGGCTGAATGTTATGTAGAGTGTAGACGACAAGATTCTTTGTGTTCCTTCATATCTTTCTTGGATTTTCGCTATGATTCCTGGTATGGTTTCGTATAAATCCTAAGACGTTGTTTATTATCTTTGTGCTTCTTTTTCAATGTGCCAAGATATAATACCGAATGACAAGCCAGAGAAAAGGTCAATTAAGATCCCATTCACGGTTTATCTGCCTACGGATTTTACGAGGATTACTGTGTTGGAATCTTCATTTTGGATACATCTCCTGGTAACTATGCAAACAGATTTATTTGCAGTGACTATAGTCAGTAACGACAACCTTGAGTTTTGGACAGTTTCATCCAACCTTGAGTTTTGGGCAGTTTCATCCAAATGATGATGAATTTCGAAATTTAAGCCAAGTCCTCAGCACAAGTAGTTCCTATTTGTAGCCATGTAATCATCTGAATTTCTAAGCTTTGGTGCATTTTTAACAAAGATATTAGGAATTGCTAATTGCATAGTTCTGACATTATACTAGAGGATCCACTAAAGGAGAAGGAGAAAAGAATGCACCATCCATTGAAGAGATAGTAATGAATTGAGGTTAGCAAGCCTAGGCTAGGTTGCAACCATAAACTTGTGTCTAGAGCAATCAAATGATATGAGGATCCCATGAAAATTAACGGTGAGAAAATAGCCAGAAATGAATACCCAGACTTATGTCCAGAGCAATCAAATGGTTTATGTACATTGCAGTCAATTCCTTGAGAAAAAAAAAGGATAAAAGAAAACAAAAAGTCTTCCTCTGCCCATGGCAGAGCAGAAGGGAGGTTGAAGAAAGAAGAAAAAAAAGCAAGCTTTTCATCTGTTATTGGAGTTAGAAAGTCTCCTATAGTCTGCTGATGTCTAGAAACAATGCTTCCACAACTTGATGAGTATCTGCTGGACAACTTCAAAAGCACCACAAAATTAGTTTATCCTGCCCAATTTCGCTACCAAAAACAATCAAAATTTTGCATGAACGCCTTTGCATATCATGCAGAAGTATCTTACACGCTTCACAATTATCTTCCAATGGTAACTGATCCATCCTGATTACCTGTTCGTCTGGTCCTGTTATGTTCAAAAGAAACCCGCACAACATGATGTTCACAAAGGAAAATGCAGTTCTTGACACTAAGCAAACGCGGCTTCCAGAAAAAACGCAAACTTGTAGCACCATTGACTGATTGCAGAAGAGATATTTCTTTTACAGTGAGTATGTACATCAGAAACTGCAATCATGAAGAGAACTGGAGCGTGGAAGATCCCCTACCCTGGAATATTATCCATGGAATACCCATCAAAAGCAAACTCATTTTCAGCTGGTGCAATGCCTTCTTGCTGCCAGAAAATGGAACTTTAAAGTCAGTGAATATCCCCAATTCCCCATTGATTTAAGAAATGAGTACTCTCTTAAACAGACGTTATAAAACAAAGAGAAAAAACCAACCTGTTTCAGAAGAGCACTCATAAGATCCTCTTGCCCAAAATGATCAGGAAATAGATTGGCAGCGCTTGCATCAGCAACTCTCTCAGACTTTACCCTTATCGTATTGTCAACAAGAAGGGAGTCGAGATGTTGATTAACATTTTGTGCAATCACATGCTCCGTACCATCTGCTGCTGAGAACACTGCCTTGCTTACAACAGCTGCACTCCTGCTCTGTCCATTCACTTGACGAGAAGAAAATCCTTGTTGAACTAAAACTGATTGCGTAAGATCAAGGTTGCCTTGAAGAGAGTTTGAATGCTGAGAGGCATCAAATGTCATGCCTACATTCTCTAGCTCCCAATTTTGGGGTTTATGTTGATTCAAGTCATTAAATATAGCATAACTTGGCATGAATCCGCTTGGTACTTTAATTTCCGAGTTAACTTCTTCCTGAAAAGCCCTTCTGGACGTGAGACTAGAAATCCCGGGTGTACTTCCAAGAGGGAAACTATTACCAGGTAATTCTGACGTGTGATTCATGGGGAAATTCAACATTGAAGAGGTCTGTGAAACTGGATTATAACCAGGGGCTCTGATATTTTCTGGAATTCCATTTCTTGTAGAGACATTGGCAGCAATTCCATTTGATAATATAGGCTGCCCCATGGATGAAGGAAGCCTGGGAGCATGACCAACAGTGGAATCGAGTGTCGGCCCTCTTGCCTGTGGCTGAGCCATCTGCATCAATAAAGAACTATTTTGGCCACTTTGCGCACCATGGGAAGTAACTTGCATATTTATGTTTCCTATTGATTGTGCAGTGTGGTGCAAGCTGGCAAGCTGCTTTGGCTCCATAGTTGTTGGAATTCCATGAAGTAAATTTATTTGCTTATTATTGTTCATATGCTGTTGCTGCCCTTCCCCAAATCTTAACTTTGGATTTTCAAAGCTAAAAATGTTTCTTTGATCAACAAGGGGCAGAGGTACACCAGATTTAGCGGTTGACCGACCAAGTCCTGCTGCTTGAAGTGTGGCAAGACTTTGTGCAGGAAGTTGACCAGTGGCAGCAAGAGTTTGAAGATCAAGCCCATTGAGTGAAGACAGTGGCCCAAAAGTTGTTTCTTGGGAGCTGATAAAAGGATTATTCAGATTACCTTGGTGCTGCGATACCCCACTCAGCCTTCTAAGATACAAGCGATATTTCTGATCACATGATAACATACTGATTATCATCAAAGGACCAAAGATAATCCTGAGAATTATTTATTAGATGCAGATGGAGGCAAATGAAAAGTTTTGTGTATTTAGTGAGCATGTACCATACCTGAAGGTGGCTGGCAACATTTTCTCTAGTAAGGCCAGGAACATTCATCAACTCCAAAATTTTCTTTGGGACAGCCTCTGTACAAGATGATCAAACGGAATAATCATAAGAGAGAAATGACAACAGCAGGTACACAATGTGAATGAAGAGAAACACCAAAAATCAACAGGGAAGTAGTTGTGGTTGAAGTTAATTAAAACATATTTCAACAGTAATGGAATATTTAATTCTTTTGGCAATTGTAACACAATTCCATCCAAAATCATTAGCTTATACAAACTACAAATCAAATAACAACAGAGACAATCAATGATTGAAGATGCCGCTTAGATTAATACATGATAACCATGGAAAAACACTGCGAATCAGATCCTTGAGTTATTTTCAAAAAACCTCAAACCAGAAGATTAAAGTAACAATACTTTTGCCTATGTTTATGTCTCTTCTCTGAAAGTACAAGGGAACTTCACTAGTTTTCCGTAAATAAATGCAATATGACTTCAAGGTTTTAATATTTTTAGAAATTGCTGGTAATTATATGCTACTATAATAAAAAGATGTAACATTCAGCATGCTATCATCAGAAAATTGAAAGAAATGGGTAAAAGACTCATACTGTCGATGCCTAGTTGATTAACTGCTGTAACAAACTGTTGATGGAGCTCAACAGACCAGACAACCCTGGGCTTCTTTAGTGAGGATGTATCATCCCTCTCATCAGTTTCATCTTCGTCATCCTTCCTCTTTTTTGAGCTTTTCCAATTCCCTTCATTAGCTGAGGACGAGTAATCTGCATCTTCAGATTGTTTTTGCTGGCGATCTCCTTCTTCTACACTTCCTGATTGCTCAAAGTCCTTCCACTCGTTCCTCCTCTTCCGAACCACATGCTGCCATATGTTCTTCAGTGCCTCGATACGAACTGGTTTGATTAAGTAATCACAGGCACCATGTGTAACACCCTTCATAACAACATGTTTTCCGTCATCTGCTGACATCACTGCAGAAATACAAATCGAATATGAGGTCAAAAAAGTACTCCAAACCCCATGAAATTGTCAATTCATGGTGACTAAATCCATGTCAAACATTTATGATAGAGTGCTTACTGATTACAGGGAGGTCCATCTCCAAACCAATATGCTCAAGAAGTTTGAATCCATCCATGTCTGGCATGTGGACATCACTGATAACGATGTCGAACCCGTTTTTGTTCTCTCGTAGCATACACAATGCAGTCTCTGCTCGATTGCATTTGGTAACTGGAAAAAACAATCACAGATCAACCAATCATCCATCAAATTACAAGAGTATCAACCTCTTAGTTTCAAACAAGGCGAATCAACAAGAAAAAAGAAACACCCTATTTTACATATGCACAAATCAAAACAAATCAGACCTTTAAAGCTAATGAAATACTTCAAGCAATTTGTAGAAAACCTGTTATCTCAAAACTAAGCTACAAAAACTTACCTAATCCATGGTGGAACAAAATTATCGCTCAGAGCATTACAAAATGCTATACTGTTCCCAAATATAACAAAACAAAAATCATTTCTTTCTGTTTTTCCACTATGGACCCACATACAAAATCAACACAAGCAAGAAAAAATAAACCCCAAGAGATGATCATTAACACTTCATATAGTAGAAGCCATAATAAACTCAAAACAAAAAACAAAAATCAGTGTCTTGAAAACCAAATCTAGAAATCAAAACTAAGAATTAAAGACGACCCAAGAAATATGACCAGAAAACAAGAAATTGTGATTTGTACCTTCATAAAGGCAGGTTCTTAGCATCTTTTCCAAGATCATGAGACATGTTGGATCATCATCAACAACAAGAACACGCAAACCAGCAGGAAATTTATCAGGAACTACATCTCCTGTTTTCCAAGCAGCACTAGAGCTAGCAGTTGACATGGATCCTTTTCCACTACTTGAATTCATCTCTCAAAAAACTGATCCAAAACCAAGGAAAAAAATAGAAAATTTTGCATTAAGATTCTGGCTTTCACATGCTTAAACTTGAACTAAGCATCAAAAAGATTGATACTTGATACCATAGTTGAAAATTCCAAGAACCCAAAGTTAAGAAAATCTAAAATTTGAAGCAAAATAAGAGAGGCTTTGGATTATTTAGAAGAGAAATTTTAAATGAAGTTTTTGTGAGATTGAAGTTGAAGACATTTGCTTATCTTAGCTTCAAGCTCAATTTCTTTATTTCCTGGATTAATTTTTTGTGCATTATTATTATTATTTTATTTAATAAATAATTATAGAATTTATTTATTTTTTATTCAAAAGTGGGTCAGTCTCTGTCCTAGAAGAGTGGATCCAGCTCACACATGAAGTTAACTAACTTGCACCTCCAAATCTACTCAAAAAAAAAAAAAAAAGCTGTTCCTATTTTTTTAGTGTTCACTTTTGTTTTGGTTTACTTTATTAGTTTAACTGACAGTAAAAAAAACTGCCCACCAAACTCTTTTCATCTTTTTACCAAGTCAATTCTCATCCAAAAATTTTCAAATATTTTCTCAAGTTTTAAATTCCTTTAAAATCAATTTAATTTTATAATTTTTTAATAATATCATTTTTTTTCAAATTTTAATATTTTATCAATAAATCACAAAATTTCCTAAAAATTCAAATTTTAAATTATTTCCACAAATAAAACAAAATAAGCACTCTATTATTTTTAAATATACGTATTAGTACATTGTTTGTTCAAAGCTTAAAAAAAATTTTAAAATGGTTATAATTAAAAAAAATTTCTTATTTTATTTTTTTATTTATTTAAAAAAAAACGTATCAAGCCAACAAACACGTCTTTACGGATTCTCTCGGTAAAAGCTACAACAAACGGAACGGAAATGAAATCCCGTTGAAGATCTTGAGTTTCTTTTCTTTTAATTATTTATTAGAATTTTTTTTACCGTGGGCTCTTCTTTTCAAGAGTTCCATTCCTTTGATGCTATTGCTAAGCCTAGAGCTATTTTACCTATGTCAAGTTCTATTCCTATCTGACCAGCTTTTATTATTATATTTTTTTTATTTTTTCACCTCTTCCTTCCCCCGTTTGACACGTGTCCCGTTCGCCGCTCTCATAGATAAGGTCCCTTTGGCTTATATTGTTTTGCTTGCGGTCTAATGATTTACACAGCCTTATGATTTGCAAAGAAAGGGATTTTTCTTTCTTTTTGTCTTTTCTATTTTTTACGTAAGGTAATTAATCTTTAATTAGATTAATTAATCAAATTTATCAGAGTTAATGTATAAATCATTCAAAATTTATATTAAAATATTTAATATGATATATAAATTTTAAAAATTTGTAATGTAATATATAAATTATGAATTTAATTAATATTATAATGTGATTTTTTATCCGTCGCATTAAAATTTAGTCTTATATTAATTAATAAATTTAAATATAATGTTAAAATTTTTTAAAATTAAATATAATATTAAAAATTTTATTATAATTTAAAAGTAATTCATGATATTAACTTAATTTATTAATACAAGGAATTAAGATTTTATTTATAGCTTAAATGACTTTGTCCTCAATATTTTTTTAAACAATTTTTTTTTACTTTTGGCTACATATATATAGTTATCATCAATTTTTATTTATTTCTTGAATTAAACTAAGAATATTAATTTTATTCAAATCTGACCAGAAATTTGATATTTTATTTTAATGGAATGAGTATTAAATTTTAAAAATATAAATTGAGATAGATATAATTTTAATTTTTTATTGGATATAAGTATGAGATGAATAATATAATATTTATTTTGTACTTGTATTATATATATTATATTTATATATTTAAATAAATTCATTTTTATTTAAAAATATAAATTTTATTTTAAATTAATTAAAACTAATATATTTATATTTAAAAAATGTATTTATCAAAATTTACATAAATTTTAATTTTATATATATACATATAACTAAATGAAAACTATTTTTATCTCATATTCTCATTTGCATAAAATCTTCATTTCATCTTCAAATTTTAAATATGAAATCGAATTTCCCTTTTAAAAGCTCACAATTTGAATTTAAAACTCAAATTAAATTAAAAATCTTGAATTCATACCACAATCTTTTTCAAATTTAAAAACAAAATTAAACTCTACTTCTTGAAAAAAAAAAAAGATAAATTTACTGATAACTGAACCAAATGATAGGATATAAATTCATGCAAAATTTAATTTGCTCTTCAAATCCCTCATAACGTCATACGTGACATCAAAATTTTCTTTGCTGGTGAAGAAAAATAAAAATTGAGGAATAAATATTTATTATTATATATAAATAAGAGAGCTTTGCTTTTTGAAGGCGCAGCAAAAGCTGTGACCCAAAAAAAAAATGGTAAAGTAGCCATTATAGCATGCATGCTGGTGGCTGCAGCAAACCGTATATTCCCTGTTTCAAACCTTTTTCTTTTTTACATTAAATTCAAAGTCTTTCACTGTCAAAAAGTAACTTTGGTTTTATCCCTACAAAACTCCAAACCGTCACTATTTTGATGGGTAACTTTATCTTTATCTTCCTATCCCCAACAGATTTGTGATCTCCCCCTTAAAAGCAAACAAAAAAAATATTAATCAACAAATAATTAGTTTAATTAATAAAAAAAATTTTTAACAAAAAAATTTTTAAATTCGAATTTAATTGATAATTATTTATTAAAATTATCTCAAATATATAATTTTTAATTATTTATTTTAATTTATTAAGCATGACATATTTTATTTTAAACTGAAAAATTAAATAATTTATTTATTTTTAAATGTTTTTACCAATAAAAAATGATTTAATAATAATTTTGTTTTGTGTTTTTTATGGAGTGGATGCTTTTAAGGGGAATGGAATATTTTTCTTGTAAGTTGTACTCCACGCGCGACACCCATATTAAATATTTTTTAAGTAAAAATTATGAATTAACACGTGGCAGTTCATCGAAGTCGGAGAAGAGTTGAAGCAACTTTTTCTTAACTTTCCCTTTCTTTCCTTTTCTATACTTTGTGCCTCTCTTGAATGATGAGTGTCAACCCCAACCAACACCGCTATTGTTGACAAAATTTTCATCTATTGTTATTGTTTTAATAATCTTATATCACCCGAAATTAATGACATTTTTATCAATAATTAAATTTTAATTATTAAAATAAATATAAATATTTTATAATAAATCACACGAAATTTAATAATTAAATGATATTTTAATTTCAACTTTTAATTTTTAACATTATGGTATTAATTTTTTTAAAACTTACATTAATAATTCAATCGACTCAAATCTAATTAATAAATGATTGATTACTTTCAATCGATTTTAAGAGCACTCTTTTACTTTTTATTTTGTTATTACTTAATTATTCTTTCAATTGATTTTAAAAATAAATTTTTTTCGTACGACCCCGAAGCTTTTATATAATTAAATTTTAATTGAAAATAAAAATAAATTTATTGCAATTCAAGTGATAATTGATTTTATGTGTATATACAATTGATGATAGCTAGAAGTTTTAACTTTCAATTTTGAATCAAAATAAAATATATGAAATCGTGATTTCACGTATGTTAAATTTAAATTTTTTATGATTTTAAATTAAAATTAAAATTATTTTTAATGATTAATTAATTTTAAATTAATGCTTAATATGGTTATTGTAATTCCTACACTTAATATATTAATACTAAAGTATAATCATCAAATGAGACACGAATAAGAAAGTCACTTTGAGATGCTATTTTACCAATTAAAGTTTAAAACTTTGTAAGTACGCAAAGAAAATTTAGAATTTGATGGTAAAATCTCATTTTTTTATTCGAATTTTATTCATACTATGGGACAAAATTGGGGTTTGAGATTGCGTATGGAATGCATGAAGTTGGCTAACTTATAAATGGATTTTATAATCAAATAATGGCATAATTGTTTGACATTTTATTATCATATTGATTTTTTTTTCAACCAAATTAAAATAATCATATATATTGTTGTCATAAATTTCTCCTCCACGTTAAGCATTTTTAAATTGTTATAATACAAATTCGAAATTTAATTTAATTTGTTTATATAATAATCATTAAAATATGATATTTTATAAATTTGAGATTTAATTTTTAATACATATAATATTTTTATGTCTAATTAATTATAAAATATATATTTCAAAATTTTTAGCAACAAAAGAATGATATGAAACGTAATAATATTTTTTATAAAACATGTTTTTGCTTAAAAAATAAAATTTATTAATAGCATTATAATATTACACAATTTTGGCATGTGATCAATGTGATAAAATAAAAAAGAAATTTGCACAAGAAAAGCAAAAAGCTTATTTTAAATTGTTTTCTTACCTTCAAACTAAATGCATTTATCCCAATTAGTACAATTTGAATAAAAATTTAAGATTATGAGCTTACTTTTTTTCTTTTTTAGTTTTAATATATAAATATAATGAATAACATGATGAAATAGAATAAGTAATGGAGTAACATAGTCAAAACTCAAATAGATATAGAAAACCAACATAAACTTATTATTATTGGCACATTTTAAGAGTGCAAGTAAGTAATCACTAAAACAAAGGAAAATTCTAAATAAAGCAAGTTGACAGTATATATATGTAAAATATTTTTCTCGTTCAACACATATATTAGGGAAAAAGATGGAAGTTTGCATTTATATAATGGCAACATATTATCTATTTTTTTATTATGATATCGTAATTACTTAATTATAGTAAAAAGTTATAATGATCTATTATTTATAAATGTGAGTTTTACAACAAATTTTGATAGACCTAAGGATGGTAGCCCAACTTTTATTCGGTGCGTTCCGACTCAACCTGATATTTGAGGATTGATTTTTTTTTAATAGGATTTTGGATTAGGTCAATTGAGTAACAGTAAATAATTTTAAGGTTAAATTTCAAGAAAACTTGTTTCGTCCCGATCATATATATAATTTTATTTTTAATTAATTAATTATTTTTTTATTCATATATTTATTTAATTTTATATTCATATTAAAAATAATATTTTATTAATTTTGAGTTTGATAAGATCGAGTTTAGTTTTATACAATATCAAGTCAAATTCGGATATTAAAAATATTATCATATTAAGTTCAGCTATTATAGATATAAAATTAGGTTATAGATTCAAGACAAGTAAAAATTCGTCTCGACCTGATCATAGATAAATCTCATACAA